CCTTTTGATTTTCTAACCCCAGGTCTTTGCTCATTTCATTATAGTACTTTACTTAATCTTCTCTAGCTGTTCTTTGAATTTTCTGTTCAGCTGTTTTAGTTCACCATTTCTTCCATGTGCTTTAGCTACTCTATGTTCAAGAGGAAGTTTCAGAGTCTCTTCTAACATCCACTTTGGTCTTTTCTTTCGTTCCTTTTTAATGACCTTTTGCTTTCTTCATATATGATGGTCTTGATGCCATCCCACAACTCCCCTGGTCTTCAGCCATTAGCGTTCAATGAGTCAGATCTATTCTTGAGATGATCTCTAAATTCAGGTGGAGTATACTCAAAGTCATATTTTGGTTCTCCTGGAGTTGTTTTAATTTTCTTCAGCTTCAGCCTGAACTTGCATATGAGCAGTTGATGGTCTGTTCACAGTCAGCCCGGGTCTTGTTTTTCCTGATGATTTTGAGCTTGTCCATAGTCTTTTCTACTGATTTAGTCAATTCAATTTCTGTGTATTCCATCTGGCAAGGTCCATTTGTATAATTGCCATTTATATTGTTGAAAAAAGGTATTTGCAATGAATATTGCAAAATTCTGTCATGCTTTATTTTTATCACCAAGGTCATGTTTTCTTCTCTTAGTTTCCAATTTTTGCATCCACAGTAATTATCAATGCATCTTGATTGTATGTTTGATCAATTTTAGACTGAAGAAATTGGTAGAATTCTTTAATTTCTTCATCATCGGCTTTGGTGATTGGTGCATGAATTTGAGTAAAATAGCTGATTTTATAGAGCTCATTATGAAGATACTTCTTGTCATCCTGTGGGTCCAGCTGATCCAGGATTGTCTAGATATACTGGAAAAAGTACTGGAACAAGGCCCAAGACATGTGAGTTTAGTGAGTTACTAATGAGCTGACATTTCCTGGCTCTCACTTTACTCATCAGTAAACTGAGGGGTTGCCCCAGGAAACCACTAAAGTTTCCTTCATTCTGACTTTGTAGGGTTCTCCAGCCCTTGCAGTTTGCTTCAAGTTTTCATCCTCAAGTGTATTGGGAGAGAGCCAGGTCTAATTCTCCCACTCACCATTTGACCAATGTGACTAAAGCAGTGCCTGGTACATCATCTTGTTGTTGTTGTTATGTGTTGTCTAAGTCAGTTCCAACTCATAGCGACCCTGTACAGGGTTTCCAAAGAGCGGCTGGTGGGTTTGAACTACCAACCTTGTGGTTAGCAGTCCTGGTATGTGCCACACCAGGATTCCTGGCACATAGTGGTGGTGGTGTTTGTGTGTGGTGGAGTTGGTTCCAACTCATAGTGACCCTGTATAGGGTTTCTTTTCTGAGGCTGCAATTCTCATCTTTCTCCTACAGAGTGTTTGGTGGACTTGAACTGCTGACCTTGTGTAACCCATTATGCCACCAGGGCTCCTTTGGCACATAGTTGTTGTTGTTAAGTGCTGTCATGTTAGTTAGGACTCTTAATGACACTGTATATTGGGTTTTCAAGAAGTGGCTAGTGGGTTTGAACCACCAACTTTGAGGTTACCAGCCAAGTGCTTATCCTATAGCACAACATCAGGACTTCATGTACATGGTTGTTGTAATGTGCTGTTGAGTTGATTCCCACTCATAGTGACTCTGTATAGGGTTTCTGAGGAGCAACTGGTGGGTTTGAACCACCAACTTTGCAGCTCAAACTGACCTGGCAGTCCAGTGCATTATCTTGTTGAGCCACACCAGGTCTCCATGCACATAGTTGTTGTTGTTGGTCATCGAGTCAGTTCCAACTCATAGCAACCCTACATAGGGTTTCCAGGAGCAGCTGGTGAGCTTGAACCTCTGACCTTGCAGTTCAAACGGCTTTGCAGTCTGGCGCATTAACCCACAGCACCACACCAGGACTTCATATAGGTACTATTAAATATTTATTGTAGGAAGGAATAAATGCTTTACTGGAACAATGCCCCGGGCAACTAGAATCTTGCCAGTAACATCAGAGCCTCAAGAAGGCATTGTTCCATGTGGCTTATATTGGGTTCTGTTCATTTAAACATATCTAGTAATAAATTATGCTAAGAGGGTTATATGTAAATGATAGGAAATTTATTATTTTTAAAAAAAGTATATTGTTAAGTTGATTCTGACTAATAGTGATCCTGTATAGGATTTCCAATGAGTGGCTGATGGGTTTGAACCGCCGACCTGTAGTTAGGAGTCCAGTGTTTATCCTAGGTCTCCTTTAAAAGTATAAAAATTAAAAATTGTAATCACCCACAATTCAGTGCAGTGATATTTTTGTGTGCATGTGTGCTTTTCTATACTTTTGAAATTAAAGGAAAATAATAAGCATGTTATCTTCTTGGCCATTCATAGATAATCACTGTTGAATTTTTGTGTGCAATTTTTCTGGTGTGGCGCTGCAGGACAAGCACTGGACTGCAAGATTGGTTTGAACAACAAGGTCAGCAGCTGTTCAAACTCACCAGCCGATCCTCAGAAACCCTATACAGGGTCGCTATGTGTTGGAGCCCACTCAACAGCACTTAACAACAACAATTTCTTCAAAGTTTATATAGACGTACTGTTTATATAGTGCCCTATCCTGAATTCCCTATGTACATACATGGCCCTTAAAGCATTTTTGATGCCTTTATGATAATAGTGCATTTAATCACTCCTTCACTGTGGTTAAATGCATCACCTAAGTTCTTTCCATTTTGCTATATATTATAAGGAGTCCTGGTGTGGCGCTGTGGGTTAATGCACCAGACTGCAAAGCTGTTTGAACTACAAGGTCAGTGGTTCAAACTCACCAGGTGCTCCTTGGAAACCCTATATAGGGTCACTATGGGTCAGAATCTACTCGACGGCACTTAACAACAACAACAACATATATGATAAATATCACAGTGATAAACATAACCAAACTCAGACTCCTGTGGTGGAGTCAATTCTGACTCATAGTGATACTTTAGGGCAGAGTAGAGCAGCATAGGGTTTTGAGAGATGTACATCTTTACAGAAACAGATTGCCACATATTTTTTCAGCAGAGTTGCGGCTGAGACTAGGCTTGGCCCAAAAAACCCGGGGTTGGGGTGCGCGTTAGGAATGGGACAGTTTCAAGTTTCTTGAAACACAGTGCCAAAATGTTTGGGAAAAAAAAGCTTTCATCAATTTACAAAAATCAAATTTGACTACAGTTCGATGAGCTTTGTAGATCCCTCTCTAAAGATGAGGATAAAAAACCCTGCAAGCTTGGAAGGCCTAAGAAGCTGTGGAGAAGATGTGAGAACGCTCGCAGTTGTCTTCTGCCCCAACTTCTCCACCCGCAGACCATCGTGTTTTCTAATTTGAAAGTTATAAATATACACCGGAGGAAAAGAAAAATATGTATACATATAGACAGGGAATAAAGGATGTCAGTGTATCCACCGTTTTCATTAACATCACCCACCCCCAGTCCATAACGGGTTCGGGGTATCACTGTTTGTGAAGAGAAGAATTTGTAAACAAGAACTAAACACTTGGATATCCTATATAGAAACAGTCAGCTATTCCAATGTGAGCTTCCAAGGACCGACAAGATAATGAAAGAGAGTAAGAGAGAGCATCCTCGACTTTCCCATTCAACTAGAATGGCTACGGCCCCTTTAAGGTCAAATCCGGGACCTGGCCCTTTAAATCTATGTCAGTTTCCCCTGACGTCAGTGGGCGGACTAGTTGCCACGCTGTTTACCGCCCGGCGGCGCAGCTCACTTTCAGGAGTTCTGAACGCTGGGGCCGCTGCGTCCGCCCGCCCTTAAAGGGCCAGCACCCCGGAAAACTCGCAGTCCCGCTCGGCGCGCGGTCGTTACCACCTATCACGCCCCTCACCCTCAGACTCTTAGTCCCTCCCCGGCCCTTGGCGTCTCAGGGCTCCCAGCAACCAGCTGGCTCTCACTCTCCCGGCCCAGGGCTGGGGCCGCAGGGTCTCTGGGCCGAGCTCAGCCCCTCGCGAGCTGGGATCCCTTCCAGAGGTCCGTTCCCCGCCCTCGCCTCCTCCCCGTCACCCCCTCTTCTGCGGGACCCCTGGGAGCGCCTCGGTGGCTTCAGGGTGGGGATGTTTCCTAATCTCAGGCCGGGGTTAAAGTTCTGGTCCGAGTGAGATGCTGGAAGCTGCGGCCCGAGCCGTAATCCGTCTCGGAGGTGTCCAGTAGCCTGTCGCCGCCGCCGCCACTGCCGCCCTGCCGGGGCCATGTTCGCTCTGGGCTTGCCCTTTTTGGTGCTCTTCGTGGCCGCGGTCGAGAACCATCTGGGGGTTTTGGGGCCCAAGAACGTCTCTCAGATAGACGCAGAGTTTGAGCGCACCTACATAGACGAGGTCAACAGCGAGCTGCTCAACATCTACACTTTCAACCATACTGTGACCCGCAACCGGGTGAGTGTTGGGGCCCGGCTGGAAGGCAGCTGGTGAGTGGACCAGCAGGCAAGGGCTGGGCAATTCTGCCACCTTCTTTTAGGAGGCCCCAGGAACTAGCTGCCCCGCTGGGTTTACGACTTGATGGAATCACGGTGGAGCCTCCTGACCCGACCTTATTCTTCGATTACCACTGCTCTTTCTCTGAAGCTCAAACTGGACGGTTTCGGAAGTTATGTCATTTCCATCTTCTCTTCAAACCTTAGCTCTTGGCCCCCTTCCTTGATCCATCCACCTGATGCGGTCTGAACAGGACGGCCTGCCCCTTACTCAACTTTCCCAACACCCAGAACTTAACTGAGCTCTGGCTGAATGAAGGGCAAGTTGCTGTAGCTGGACTTGGGCCAAAAAACCCCAAACAAACCCGGGGGTGGATGTCAGGAGTGGGACTGGCCCGGAACTGAAAGGTTGTAACCAACTCTGCCCAGACAAGTTAGAGCCCAGACTCCCCAGGGAGATGAAGACAGAACTTCCAGGCTCCTCCTTTAAGTGCTGGAAACTTCCTGGCTCTCCTCCTGCCTCAGAGAGCCCCTGGTCTTATGAGTGAGGGTGGCCCAGATAAAGCTAACTGCAAGTTGTGTGAGAAGAAAGAGGCAGTTTGTCCACTGGGGAGATTCCTTCTTACTTAGTCTTTTCTTTCATTTCTTCCCCAGCCATAAGCCCCTGAGCTGGACAGGGTCATTGTTGTTGTTGTTAAGTGCCATTCCGACCCATAGCGACCCAGTATAGGATTTCTGAGGATTTGTTGGTGAGCTTGAACCTCAGACCTTACAGTTCAAACATCTTTGCAGTCTGGCGCATTAACCCACAGCGCCATACCAGAACATGGGCATAGCCAGGTGTAAAGCATAGAGCCTGGCAGAGCGAAAATTTAGGGGAATTCTTGTAGCCTGGCTATAGGATTGACTGCACAATCTTCTCTCCAGGGAACCAACAGTTTCATTTATTTGCTCTTACTGTCTCTGTTCCTCTTGCTCCCCATTGCCTGGTTTTACTGGGAATCTTTTTATTTTTTCCAAGATGGAGAGGGACGTGGTTTCTATGACAGGCAAGGATCTGCCTTCAGTGTTTGATTCTTAGGCGTTTGATCAACTCCTGCACCTTTTCTGTCACCTGTATATAGTTCCTTCTTCCATCTTTCCTATCTCTAGAAGCACTTGGAAGGAGCTCTGGTAGCACAGTGGTTACGAGTCGGGCTGCTAATCTCACAGTCAGCAGTTCAAAACTACCAGCTATTCCACAGGAGAGAGATGAAGCTTTCTGCTCCGTAAACCTTATACAGGGTCACTATGAGTTGGAACCCATCCCACAGCCCATAATCACCACCACCAGAAGCACTCGGACAGCGGTGGCCCCTAGGGCTTGTGTTCTAGCAGCCCATTAATGAATGTTTGTAGGAATTCTTTGGTTTTATTTTTCTCTTTAGTCCCTCTGCCCTATACAGCTTCCCAGTCTTCTCCTCCATAGCTTCAGTGACGAAGGGAAATTGAGCATCAGCAATGTGAAGTGATGGCTCCATATCCATTGGCCAGAGTTAGGGGTACAAATTGGACTCCTGGTGTGGCGCTGTAGCACTGGGCTGCTAACAATGAGGTTGGCTGTTCATACCCACCAGCTGTTCTTTGGAAACCCTATATAGGGTCACTTTGAATCAGAACTGACTCAAATGGCACTTAACAATAACAGGGGTACAAATTGGTTTTCTTGCCTTTCATCACTGCCAGGCTCTGGCCCTGAGAATAGTTGTAACTTTCTACTGATGCCCTAGCTCACAAAGGTTGAAGAACACTTCTTGCTCTTGTATATCCATTCATGTGTCTTTACATGTGTGCATACATGTGAGTGTGCAGACGTGTGAATCCCCTTCCACACAGGTAGGAACAGGGCATCCCTGTGACTCGCAAAGACTCAAGTGGTTTCCTGTTGGGAAGCTAGGCTCTGCACAAGCCTGCCACCCAGGAGCGGGCCCCTCCTCTTAAGCATCTTGCAAACTGGGAGTTACTCTGGTAGAAGATGGAGCAAGAGCAAGGTTGGCATGGGAAGGCAGGACTTGAGATCACTGAAGCCATATGTCTAGGTGGCAGAGATTCAGTCACCACAGCTTGATTGAGTGTCATTCCATGTTACTTCGCAGACGGAGGGCGTCCGTGTATCTGTGAATGTGGAGAACAAGCAGAAGGGGGCTCCTTTGCTGTTCGTGGTCCGCCAGAAGGAGGCTGTGGTGTCCTTCCAGGTGCCCCTAATCCTGCGAGGGCTGTGAGTAGGACCCAGGGATCAGGAATGGGGCATGTCATAGTTCTGGCCTTGCCCAGAATCTTACTCAGGGCTTCAGACCACCCAGGAACTCCCTTACATTTCTCATCTCCATTCCCTGAACTAAGAGGCTGGTCGATGGCATGAGGGCCATGTCAGCCAGGCTGAAGGTCATTACCCCAGTGTGGGTAGAAATAGCAGTATGGTGGAGACCAGATTGGAGGAATTGGGGCCTTGCTCCCTAAAGCGACCCACTGGTTGGGGCAGTAGTCATGTCCTACCTAACTCTCTGCTTCGGGCCATAGATTTCAGCGCAAGTACCTCTACCAGAAGGTGGAACGAACCCTGTGTCAACCCCCCACTAAGAATGAATCCGAGGTCCAGTTTTTCTATGTGGATGTGTCTACCCTGTCACCGGTCAACACCACATACCAGCTCCGGGTCAGCCGCATCGACGACTTTGTGCTCAGGTTTGCAGGGAAGAGCAAGGGGCCCGGGGATAGGCCTTTCCAAGCTCTGAGAGTGACTGTGGGGGTCTCATCTCTGTCCTGCAGGACTGGGGAGCATTTTAGCTTCAATACCACAGCAGCTCAGCCCCAGGTAAAATTCCCTGTCAATTACCCCTCATGAGGAGATTAGAAGATTGGACAGGACGTGGGAGGAGTCAGTGGTATTTGGTGGGACTTTGGAGTTGGCTGTACTTTCTTTGGAGAGCCTCTCTGGAAACAGGGGTTCTGGCCCTAAGTTATTAAGGGACAGTGCAGAGACGTGGGGTCTGCCTCTCCAACACTGTTCTGATTGCCCCGAACAGCATATAGAAAATAGGGCTTTTCTCCCCAGAGAGCCACCACTGCCCCACCGTGGGAGAAATCTGGGTCCTGGCTTTAATGGAAAGCTACTCCCTTCTGTCAGACCACAGAGTAAACTCAGGAATTGTGCTCTCCTCCTGCTTCCTGTTTTTGCCTTTAGTACTTTAAGTATGAGTTCCCTGAGGGTGTAGACTCTGTGATTGTCAAGGTGACCTCCAACAAGGCCTTCCCCTGCTCGGTCATCTCCATTCAGGATGTCCTGGTAAGATGCCTGGCCTTGTACTCTCCTCTCCACTTGTAGGTAGCAGGGATGCGAAGACCCAGGGGACAAGCAAACCCCTGTCCATCTGCCTCTTCCCTCTTCCCTCTGTAGTGCCCCGTCTATGACTTGGACAACAACGTGGCCTTCATCGGCATGTACCAGACGATGACCAAGAAGGCGGCCATCACTGTGCAGGTAGGAGATACCTGTGTCCTTTGGAAGATGTCTAGCTTTTGGAAGCCTTGCTCCTTTTCCTCTGCCCTGTTCTTCCTTACGGAGCCATGGTGGTACAGGGTGTTCAGCGCTGGGCTGTTAACAACAAGATCAGCTAGCCCAGCAGCCACTCAACGGGAGAAGAATGCAGCTATCTGTTCCTGTAAAGAGTTCATCTCAAAAACCCTAAGGAGCAGTTCTGCTCTGTCCTTTGGGGTCATTAAGTGTTGGAATGGGCTTGATGGCAGTGGATTGGGTTTGGAATTTGGGTCCTTTCTTGCCCACAAGACTTGACTCTTCGTGCTCAAGTCCCTGTGAACTGGAGTCTGGGAAATCTCTGGGAATTGAGCCATAATCACCCTTGGGTGACTGGCAAAAGAAAGGCTGTCACATTACTTCATTCATTATAGTGGTAGTGAGGAGAGTAAAGGCCGTGTTGGCTCCCTGTGGTGGTGGTGTAAACCTGTACTGGTGACAGGGAGGCACTTGTTAACCTGACAGCATCAGGCTGTGTAACTGGGGGAGGAGATGGGGCATTTCGGCTTTTGCTGCCCAGCCTGAAATCAGACCAGCTTATGAGTTCCACAACCTGTGTGTCTCTAGGTGAGACAGACGTGTGGGCTCAAGGTTTGGGCTCTGGAACTGGATAAACTGGGTTTGACCCTGGCTGCCCCACTTACTAGCATTGTGACCTGAAGGTAACTTCTCTGAACCTATCACCAGAGATGATAATAATACTTATTGTTATTGTTAAATGCTGTCAAGTCGGTTCCGACCCACAGCAACCCTGTATGTGGTTTCCAAGGAGCAGCTGGTGAGCTTGAACTGCCGACCTTGTGGTCAAACGGACTTTACAGTCCATTGCATTAACCTACAGTGCCACACCATGACTCCATATAGTATTTATGGCGGTTGTGTGCCGTGGAGTCAGGTCCGACCCATAGCGACCCTGTACAGGGTTTCTGAGGCTGTAAATCTTTACGGGAGCAGAAAGCCTCATCTTTCTCCCGTGGAACAGTTGGTAGTTTTGAACTGATGACTTTGAGGTTCGCAGCCCAATTCGTAATCACTACGCTACCAGAGCTTCTTATAGTACTTATAGGACAGGTAACTAAAATAATATATGTAAAGAGATTGGCATGTTATCTGGCCCAAAAAAAACAAATATTCAGGAAAGGATGGTGATGACGATGTTGCTAATGACCATCATCATTCTCCTGCAGCGTAAAGACTTCCCCAGCAACAGCTTTTATGTGGTAGTGGTGGTGAAGACTGAAGACCAGGCCTGTGGGGGCTCCTTGCCTTTCTACCCCTTTGTAGAAGGTATGCTTTTTGCCCTAGGGCTGGCTTGGTCCCTTTCTGAGAGTTCGAGGAGCCTGTGTCACTGGTTGGTGGGCCTGATGGATGCAAGCTTGTTGGCCCCAGGCTCTCCTGGGTCTGGTCCCACCAGCTGTAGCCAATCTTCAGACAGCAACTTCTTTACCAGTTTGACATTTTACTTCTAGATGAACCGGTTGATCAAGGGCACCGCCAGAAAACCCTGTCAGTTCTGGTATCTCAAGCAGTCACATGTGAGTGTGGGTGGCTGAGTGGGGATGAGCAGGCCTCTGGCTCTTCCTTTAGACCTAGGGTATAGGGTGTTCTGTGAATGGGAAGGGTGATGAGGACCTCCTCAAGCAGGCTGAGGCAGTAGGAAAGGTCAGGCTACAAGATGAGGAGGGCCAGGAGATGCATGACCCCAAAAGAGAGAGAGCTGCTTCTCTCTCTGTCCCTTAGTGCAGTCTCCATGCGCCTCAGCTTCCATGTCTCTTCTCTATAACAGCAAGAAGATCAGTTCCATTGCTCTCACCTAGTTGTGAGGTTTTAGTACAGAATGACCTCAAGCCAGTGCTCAATAAATATTTGCTGAATGATGGAATGGGGCCCTTGGTAAACTGGAAAATATAAAGTAAAATATAAGGGATTGTGATGGGAGGAGAGAGAAGTTTCTTCTGTATGGGGTATTTATTCAGCAAATATTTGTTGAGCACCTCTGTGTACCAGGGTGCTGGGCTAAGGCCACAGAGCTTAGGGAGCTCCCAATCTAGTGGGCCAGACAGATAAAGGAGAAAGCTATTGCTATGCAAAGTGTTGGGAACTGTGATGAAGAGCAGGGCACTATGAGAAAGTGTGAAGGGGCCAAAAGGGTTCCTAGAGGAGCTGTATTTGGAAGGCTAATTCAAGATGGGGCTATTGAGAAGCAGAGGAGAATGTTCTAAGTTTTAGAAATGGATAATAAATAGTATACAACATGGGGAAGTGAAATGAGTGTCGCTGAATTGTGCACATAAAAATTGTTAGAATGACAAACGTTTCATTATGTGAGGGGGCTTCAAAAAGTTGGTGGGAAATTTTCATTACCCCGTCATTCCATTTTTCCAGGAACTTTTTGAAGCCTCCTAGTATATATTTCACCATGATGAAAAGTATAATAATAATAATATTCTAGTGAAAGAAGCAATATGAGCAAAGACTGGAATCACATTAAAGTTTGATGTGTTTGGGGACTTTAATGAAGTCCTGGTTTGGCACTGTAGGAAAAGCACTGGATGGCAAGCTTAGATTGAACTGCAAGGCTGGCCATTCAAATCTACCTACCAGCTGCTCCTCAAAAACGCTATGAGTCAGAACCGACTTGATGGTACTAAACAACAAGTGGTTGTTCAGGCAAGCTGGGTCATTATGTATGAGGGGAGAGAATCCAGGTCATGAAAGGCCTGGGGTACCATGGGCAGCCTTGGAAGGTATTGATGTGTTTCTCTTCCTGCTTCCCTCCCTGCAGCTGAGGCCTATGTTGGTGGTATGCTCTTCTGCCTGGGCATATTTCTCTCCTTCTACCTGCTGACCATCCTCCTGGCCTGTTGGGAGAACTGGAGGTAAGCAGAGCTGGCTGGGCCCACCCTATTCTAGTCAGGAATGGATGTTATAGGGCCTGACCTGGCCCAGAATGATCTTCTGTGCCATCCACAGACTAGTGTGAGCACAGCAAACACGGTCTCTATTAGGATCTGTGGTCCATGTTCCCCTCTTCTGGAAACTGCTGCTTCTCCTTAACCATTTTCCCATGTAGAGAGTGACCCCAGTTTGGTCAAAAGCCTGGAAGGGACTCTGGGATCATAGATAGAAGAAAGAGTTACTGGAGTCAGGAGGGGTGGGGTGAAGGAAAGTCACCCCAGTATAAAGACACTGGTCATGTCCCACCTGACTAGCCTCAGGATTCTATCCCCGCAGGCAGAAGAAGAAGACCCTGCTAGTGGCCATGGACCGAGCCTGCCCAGAAAGTGGTACCTCCTGGGGGCTTGGCTGGGATGTCAGGGTTTGCATTGTATTCTGGAGGTGAAACGGGTGGATGTTTGCCTCAGAAACTATGGCAGAAGGGACTGGGGGCTTCTGGGCTATTCAGCTGGGAGTGAAATGGAATTAAGCCTGGGATATTGTGCTCATCCCTCCCCAACATGCACAACTTCAAGGCCGCCCCTTAATTCTGTCTCTCTGTCCAGCTCATTGTCTGTCTGCCTTTGACAGTGTGGTTCACAGAATCTAGATTTATTAATCTCGTATCCTTTTTCTTTCTTCCCATTCTCCTTCTCTCTCTATCTTTCCTCCTGCTTGGGACCTTCTCTCTCAGCTTCTCTCCTTGGTAAGCCCCAGATGCTATTGGACAGAAGAGCCAGAGTCCAAAGGTGGGGGAGGACAGTGAAGTGAAAGGGGTGGGTACCTGGCTGGGATATGGGCAGACTAGGTGTTGTCTGTCTTTGCTGCTGATATGAGAGATGAGTCCATTCCTTGACCGTCTTCTCTCTTGAAGGAATCCATAGGGTGGTGATTTTTTTCCCTTGGGAGAACACACAGGAGGGTGGGTAGGTCATGGTGGGAACAAGGTTAGTTTACCAGGATAGGTGCTTATCCATTGCTGCTGCCATAGCCCCTCTGAGTCAGTCTGCTCTGGATTCTTTCTTTTTCTTTTCTCTGGCTCTGGGTCTCTCTCTTCTTTCAAGACTAAACGTACCTTGATTTCTCATTACAGGTCACCCTCGGATCCTGGCTGACGCCTTCCCTGGCAGCTCCCCATATGAGGGTTACAACTATGGCTCCTTTGGTACGTAGCAAAGCCAGAAGTTGTCATTGCCCACTCACAACCTGGCCTGCTTGGGCGGCCACCTCTGCTGCTGCTCAGAGATCTAACATCCCCTTCTCTGTTCACCACTTGACCGTTCCCTGTAGAAAACTGTTCTGGATCCACCGATGGTTTGGTTGACAGCGCCGGGGACCTCTCCTACAGTTACCCTGGTGAGGGTCCACACCGGGCCATGGGCTGTGCTGGTGCAGGGCTGGTGTTGGCTGGGTGCAAAGTGATGGTGGGCGGTTGCCTCTTCTGCCAGATGCTGGAACCTCTTAAGGAAGAACCTGCTGGTCTCCCTGCCCTTCTCCTCCCTTCCTCCTTGGCCCCAGATTCCCTGTAACTTTCCCTTTCCTTTGAAGGACACGACCAGTTCAAGCGGCGCCTCCCCTCTGGCCAGATGCGGCAGCTGTGCATTGCCATGGGTAGATGTGGGGGAGGGGGTGGGGCTGCTTGGCCAATCAGCTCTGCCAGGGCAGCTGACCGGCCAGAGCCGGTTAGCCTGAAAGATGCTTTGTGCATGGCTCCCCCATCTATTGCCAATAATTGCTGGCTCTGTGTCTTCTGAGATAGGCAGGCACTGGCCCCTGGGACTCGAGAGCTAATGTCCTACCCTAGCTACTGCTTGGGCCAGTCATTCAGGCCAGGTGTTCTCAGATGCTCTTGTTCCCAGCACCCTGACTCCCTGACCTCATGGGGGCTTTGACCAGACAAGGTCTCAGGAAGATGCTTCTGAAGGTGCTAGAAGAAACTAGGATAAAGGAGAGGGTGCCCTTCCCAGAGGCAGCCTTCTATCCTTGCCTGCACTCCTGTGGGGGCCGAGACAGTGTCTTCTCAGAATTTGCAGGGCTTGGCACCTTTTAATCGGCATGACTTCTGCCCATCTTAGTCCTTTTGCTGGGGTCTGTGGTCTGCTTAATGTCCCGGTCTGGGAAGATCTAGCTCAGTGAGAGGAACAAGGACTGGAGCAAAGCTAGAGAGGTTCCTGTTTGGTGACCTCTTTGCAGTGCCCACCCTTGTGCCCCACACAGACTTCGGAGTGAGCATCTGATCTTGCCTCGAGGGCTGAGCCCACATCCGCCCCCGCTCTAAGCCCTGGCTCACAATTTGCCTCTTCCCCACTGCCTAGTAATTCTGACAATTGCTTCAGTTGGGGTGGGGTGGGGGTGGGGCTGGGAGGGACAGGCCTAGGGTTACTGTGCCCATTGAGGCCAAGTCCCCTACTTCCTGCCCTTGGTAGATCGCTCCCTTGACCCAGTGGGCACTCGACCACGGCTGGACTCCATGAGCTCAGTGGAAGAGGATGACTATGACACGCTGACCGACATTGAATCTGACAAGAATGTCATTCGCACTAAGGTCCCACACACTGCGGCCGGGGGTTTCCCAAGGAAGGGAGAATCTTCATGTGGCCCCCAGTGGAGCTCCCGTGGGGTGGTTTTCTGGGAAGCAACTGGGCCAAGATCCATTCTAGAGGGAACTGGCTCACCTCCATGACCCTCTGAACTGATTGGCCAATTCTTGGTCTAATGATTTGCCACGGTGGGATGGCCTAGAACTCAGCCTGTGTGAGGGTGGGCCCTTTTGTCCACCTCTAACCTGGGTGAAGGAGCCTGGGCTGCTATCCTTTAAGTTGGCAGTGCAAACCCAGTAGCCATTCCCTGGGAGAACGATGAGACTGTTGTCTTAAGTGTGGCTTGTCTTAGAGGGTGGCTAAGTGGGGCTCACTCCAGCTTCTCCTCAGCAATACCTCTATGTGGCTGACCTGGCACGCAAAGACAAACGTGTTCTGCGGAAAAAATACCAGATTTACTTTTGGTGAGTGAGCCCAGCAGCGTGGGGTTCCTGTTACTGGCAGGGTGTGTGGCAACTTCCTGGGTCCTGCTCGCCTCATCACTGCCTTCCCACCCTTCAGGAACATTGCCACCATCGCTGTTTTCTATGCTCTTCCTGTGGTGCAGCTGGTGATCACCTACCAGACGGTGAGCGGTCTGAGCACCCCGCACAGCTGCAGGTTCCTCTTCACTTGTCTGGGTCATCAATGCAGAGAGCAGACTCCACACTGCCTGCCACCAGCCTGAGACTCAAAAGAGCTATGGGCTCAGAGTCACAGGACAGGACGTGTTTTCAAATCCCCACTGCCATACCAGCTGGGTGACCTGGGGCAAATCATGGAACTTCTCTGAGCTTCCGTATCTTCCTCTGCACTACTGGGGAGGCACAAGACCACTGAAATCACATTCCCTGGCTGGCTGTGGGGAGGGCTGATGAAACCACATGTTGGTTTCCCTTCCATTTTTTATATCTTCTGAGCCAAGAGCCCTAGGCCTCAGGGGTTTCAGCTCCATGTAGTCACCGGGGACAGTGGCTGAGCCCTCACCTCTCTGTTTTTCAAAAGGAACTTGAGCATACCTGCTGGGCACAATGCACTTCATGTTCTTTGTCTAATGGCTGGAGTGGCCAGGGCCTGGCTCCTGCTTAGCTCAGCCTGTAACACCAGTGTCCCCTGCTGCAGGTGGTGAATGTCACAGGGAATCAGGACATCTGCTACTACAACTTCCTCTGTGCTCACCCGCTGGGCAACCTCAGGTGGGAACAGTGTTGGCAGGCCCCTTCCCCCCAGCAAAGGGTGGATTAGGGCAGGGAGTTGGAGCTCTGGCTGGGGGAGAGGCCAAGGTCTGAGACCCAGGCAGTGTGCCTTGTGGTGCCCCTTCTAGCGCCTTCAACAACATTCTTAGCAACCTGGGGTACATCCTGCTGGGCCTGCTCTTCCTGCTCATCATCCTACAGCGGGAGATCAACCACAACCGGGCTCTGCTGCGCAATGACCTCTGCGCCCTGGTGAGGGAACAGCCCCACCTGCCTGCCCCCGTTGCTCGCCAGCCCACTATGACCTCAGCTCCAAGAGCCCATTCCATCTACTTCTCTACTCCTGTCTTGGGGGCTTCCTCTTTTGGATCCTTCCCTATTTCCCTTCTCCACAACAGGAATGTGGGATCCCCAAACACTTTGGCCTGTTCTATGCCATGGGTACAGCCCTGATGATGGAGGGGCTGCTCAGCGCCTGCTATCATGTCTGCCCCAACTATACCAATTTCCAGTTTGGTGAGTAAGAACTCCCTCTCCTCAGCCCACTCAACACACCGACCTCAATCTTCCATCACCTCCCCATTGCCTACGGGAGTGTCTAGACTCAGTTGGGGTGCCTATGTGCACCCATCTCTCAGCATATATCCAGAAAAGAAGCACCAGGTGCTGTGTTGTTCATACATTGAGTGTTCCCTACATACCAGGCATAAGCAAGTACAGAAAAGAATAAGAGAATTAGTTCAGTATAGTAGGCACATACTCCTCAACACTGAGTTCTCCCAGCTTGTATTTGTTCTTCAGTGGGGAAGTCAGATCTGTGTGGCCAGTGGGGTCGCCGTGTGGCCTGGCAGGGACAGCACTAGTGTGGGAGGCTGGGGCCTGGGGTATCAGGGCGCCCCTTCCTGCTGTAGTGATTTGGGCTGGGGTTTCTGTACTGAGGCTTGGGAGAGGTTTCTTAGCTCCCATCCATGTTCTGCCCGCAGACACGTCATTCATGTACATGATCGCTGGACTCTGCATGCTGAAACTCTACCAGAAGCGACACCCGGACATCAACGCCAGTGCCTACAGTGCCTACGCCTGCTTGGCCATCGTCATCTTCTTCTCTGTGCTGGGCGTGGTGAGGGTCTAGCCTGCTCTGGTCCCTTGGCTCCCTACTCCACCCACCCACCCTCTCCACCTCCCACCCTTCCCTGGGTCCCCCTGAAGGTCCCAGCCAGACCCAGCAAACACTTTTGCTCTTGTGGATGAAAAGCCTCCTCACCCCCACCCTTGGGGACCTCCTGACAGGTCTTTGGCAAAGGGAACACAGCATTCTGGATCATCTTCTCTGTCATTCACATCATTGCCACCCTGCTGCTCAGCATACAGCTCTATTACATGGGCCGCTGGAAGTTGGGTGAGGGCATGGGCAGAGTGGGATAGGAGGGAGGGAAGGAGGGAGGCCTGGAGGTTCCATGGGATGAGGGTTTCAGACTCTAGTGTCCCTGAAGGGATTACTGGGTGAGGAATGACCCTGAAGGCCCCAACCTAGGGTAAAGGACCTGGGAGGAAGGGCAGTATGCGCCTTTCAGCGCCATTCCCTTCTCCCTGCAGACTCCGGCATCTGCCGCCGCATCCTGCACGTGCTCTACACAGACTGCATACGACAGTGCAGTGGACCCCTCTACGTGGTACCTCCCCAGCTCCCCAGCCCCTTCCTCTTGCATCTGCTGTGGGCAGTGGGGAGGCACAGCTGAGAGTCCAGGGCCGGGGTGGAGACCAGCTGACTTGGGCCTTCTCCCACTTCTTTCCCTCTCTCTCCCCCTCCCTGCAGCCCTCCCCTCTCTCAGTACCCGTGTCTCTGCTTCCCTCCAGGACCGCATGGTGCTGCTGGTTATGGGCAACATTATCAACTGGTCGCTGTGAGTCTGGCCATTGTCTGGGATATCCTGGGCAGGCAGTTGGGATCCTGGCCAGCTGATGCCTGCCTTGGGGGCCAGGGACAGCTTCTGAGTTTGGGGCCTGAGAGGGAAATAGAGATTGAAGAGAGAGGTGGGGCGTGGGGTATCTGGAGTTCTAGAATTTTCTGTGGGTTTCCAGATCTAGCCCCACATCAGAATAACCATGGTGAGGGTTGAGGTGAGGGGGAGCCCTTTTCTTGCTCCTGACCCTCTCTGCTTCACCAGCCTGTCTTCCCTCTTGACAGAGCTGCCTATGGGCTCATTGTGCGCCCCAATGACTTTGCCTCCTACTTGTTGGCCATTGGCATCTGTAACCTGCTTCTTTACTTTGCCTTCTACATTATCATGAAGGTGAGTGGGGGATGGGTGAGCCTGCCCTGTTGTTTATGGAGGGAGATGGGTAGGGCCTTGCTCGGGGCAGCACTGAGAAAGAGGGCCATTTGTCTATGTGTCTGTCTTTTGTCCATCTGTTGATCCCAGTGGGTTTTGAGGAGGAGAGAGGGTATAGCCAATGCCTATACCCTTGGGCAACTACATCATAAACGCCATTAACTGAGTCTTTACCATGTTCTTAGAATGGCCCATGGAACTGGTAGCTTTTCAGGTAACAGATGGTAAGGCCCCCGTTAAGAGAGAGTTGAGAGGAGGTTGAGCTCACTTAATCTGTAGTGAGCTTGGGCCTCTAAGGCCACTGCCTCCCAGGATACACATGCCATCCAATGTGAGAGGACCTGGGTGGATCTCAGGAGCCAGGACACAGGGTGCTAGCAGGGGGACAAGCTGAACTCTGTGGCTGTGTGTGAGGTGATGATAGGAATTCAACAAGATTTCTGGTAGGAGTGCTGCTGAGAGCTGGGGAGGGTGCCAGGAAAGGTTGGGCAATGGAGTAGGCAAGGCCTGGTCCTCACACTTTTCCTACCCCCCCACCCCCTCCCAAGCTACGGAGTGGGGAGAGAATCAAGCTCATCCCCCTGCTCTGCATCGTCTGTACCTCTGTGGTCTGGGGCTTCGCACTTTTCTTCTTCTTCCAGGGACTCAGCACCTGGCAGGTGAGTAGGCATCCTGCTTAGAAAGTGGGGTGTGTCACCCACAGACTCACTGTGAGCCAATGAATGGTAGGTCCTCTTTTTCATGGTTGTGTGTGAATACCTCCTGTCCCAGCTGCTTCTCCTTCACCCTAACCCTTCATCACAGCAGCATCCCTGTTTTACTTAGGAGGCAACTGAGGCTCAGAGAGGCCAAGTAACTGGCCTGAGGTTGGCAGACAACTGGTTTTGAAGTTGAAGATGTCCCCCCTCTCCTCAGGCACATAGGGCACCTATCACTGTTGCATCAGGCTTTCATTCTGAGAGCAGAACTAAGTCTGATAAGATTTGTTCCTTTGAGGTACTTCGAATCTAATTCAAGAGAGAGACTGTTAGTTCTTGTCTTGCTGTTTACAATATGCTACTTGAAATGAAGGATCCAGGTAAGGTGTGCCAGTGAGCTTGTACAGAGGTCGAAGGATGGAGACTCTCTGAGCTGTGAGGTCCAGAAAGGCTTGCTGGAAGAGGTGGGCATGCTCTTGGCCATAAGGTGATAGGTAATGGAAAGACCCTGTTACCAGGAGATGCTGTGGCTTGAGTAATTATTAAGTGCCGTCAACACAGAGTAGAATTGCAGCAAATGTTGGGTAGAGGTTACAGACAGAGCGTGGAGGACCCTGAGGGCCACAGGTCACAGCCCACAGCTCATGGCCACCATCATTCTTGAACAGAGGTAAGACTTGACCATAGTGCTTTGGAGGGAAAAATAAAAAAGAACCTGGAATTGCTCTGTGGGACTGGGTAGACCAAGGGTAGAGCCAAGGCAGGAAGTGAGTGAGGAAGCTCTGGGGGCCTTTTCACATCCCCAAGTTGGAGGTTTCTAAAGGCCGTCACGGGGGCACAGTGGCTCTGTAACACAAGCACTGGACAGCCAACGCACTTAACGTAGCAACATAAGCAGCCACTGCCTTCTGCTTTTAAAGAAAATAAAAATCAGAACGAAGGAAAATAAGAATGAAAGAAAGAAGAACGGGCAGAGGCCTGCCTTCTCAGAGAGTAATTAGTAACCGAAGGCCGTTTCTTGGCTGTGGGAGACGTGGAGACAGACCAGTCTGAAGAGAGTAAGGGACTTTCCAATCAGGGACTGGGAACAGAAAGTGCCTTGGATTGCAGTGGGAGGTAGAGCTGCCTACCGCTCTCCCAGAACTTAGCTGCAGGTAGCTCTCTGTTCCTCCCCAGAAAACCCCTGCAGAGTCCCGGGAGCACAACCGAGACTGCATTCTCCTGGACTTCTTCGATGACCATGACATCTGGCACTTTCTGTCTTCCATCGCCATGTTTGGGTCTTTCTTGGTATGGGAGCGAATTCTGCCCCAAGCGAGGAGGGTGGAGTGAAAGTTGGAGGTTACCCCTTTCCTGTGTTTGATCCACCGTTCCCCGCCCGTCCCCACCAGGTGTTGCTGACACTGGACGATGACCTGGACACTGTGCAGCGGGACAAGATCTACGTCTTCTAGCGCGAGCTGGGCCCCTTACGTCACCTCATGGGGCCCTGAGCTCCTCCTCTGCCTCACTGGTCCCGTAGAGCTGGGGCTGTGAGTCTCAGCCTTGCTGCCCAGTGCTGGATGTGGGCAAGACAGTGGGAGCCAGCCCAGGCCTGGTCCGGAATAGCCACAGGGATGGCCTTGAGCCTTGCCCTCTGCCAGGGAGGAGGCCTACTCCCCTGAAATCCCAGACAATGGCCAAATTGCTGCTTTCTTCTCAGTGTTGGGGCCGTGCACAGGTTGGCTCTCCGTTTGTCTCTCTGTAGGAGGAAGGAGGGAAAGTTACCCTCCCCATTTCATGCCTTGCATTCTGCCCGTCCATCCCCTCCCCTTCAGCCTAGAACCCTAAGCCCTTTCTTCCTCCCAGACTCCCAGTCCAGAACCCTAGCCTGCGGTCTGGTTCTTTGTCCTGAGCCAGGGGCTGTACCTGGCTGCCATCACTGCCCACTACAGTCAGCAAGGATGGGTGGTGATGTGGGATACAGGGCAGGCCAGCTGGTGCCTGGCGCTTTTGGTGCTAAGGCCTGTGAGGTCTGAGGCAGCCTCTCTGGTCTTTGCTTAGGGGCTGGCTCTTTAGCAGTGCGGGTCAGCCTGTGTCTCAGAGGTCATCTCCCTATCCCATTGGGTCCCCAGGCTGATGCTGGCACCAGGATTGGAAGGAAAAGTAACTCCCTTTTCCCTTCCTTTCTTTCCAGACCCTTAGTCCTGCCAAGCCCCAGCTGGGGCCCTTTCAGTGCCATTGACACTGCCCAAGAATGTCCAGGGGCAAGACAGGGAGTGGACCATGAGCTGCAGCTGAGTCAGCCCCAGTGTCTATCTGAGAAAGGGGGCAAAAGGATATGCTTATAACTGTCCCAGTCCCAGCCTCACTCGGGGACCCAGGGCTGGATTCTAAGTGTCCGTGCAGTCTTCAGCGAAGGTCCGTGTTAGTCACAGCACATGTACACTCCTATAAAACCTGTGAGTTTACACTGAGTTTCTGGGCCGTGTAGCTGCTCTGGTTCTTGGTTTTCCATCACTCTACTGGCCCATTCCAGATGCCAAGGATGGGGGAGGTACAGGTCAGTCCTCTATCTTGGGGTGGGAATATGTTTTATTCACCCAAACTGGTTTTTATTGCTCTCCCTGGGGTGGGGGAGAGGAGGTGGGTCTGGGTCTCTTTTTTAGAACTCTGTTTTATGTCTGCCTCCATGCTATCTATGGTTGCATTTCTGTTTTCTATGAATGAGTCTGCATTCAATTAAAGAAACAATGAGATGCAGTCTTGGGCCCATGTGTGCTGTGCCTTCCCAGGTGGGGTGTGGGGGAAGATGTTGAGACCAGTGAGGGAAGGGACCTGGAGTGGGAGTGGGGAGGTTGTTCTTCACTTTCCATCCCTCCTGGTCTTCTCTTTTCTAAACCAGGGTCACATTGAAAACAATGGTTCTCTGATTTCCCACTTTTTCCTCACTTTTGAGCCCTGGCATTAATTTGGTGCACTTTTCTCTATCCTATTTTGTGCCACGTTCTGTACTGGGCAGAGATTAGTGATGAAGAAGCCTTGTCCCGTGCCACTCTCCTTAGCAGTGCCTCTCCCAGTCCTCTGCCCTCCCTGGTCCTCATCTCTTGAAGACTGAGGTGGCCTCACCTGTGACCTGGGCCCCTCCCAGCTTGTCAGACTGCAGGCAGTGCTCCTGGTACCAGTTAATAATAGATAATGAGCAGGAAGGGAGGGGAGTTAAGGAAATGCAAGAGGTTTGGATGGACAGCAGGCAGCCTCCAAAGAGGAGGGAATTTTAGATTTCATCAGGCTTGAAAGGGCAAGATTTGGGAGCTAGGAAATCAGAGGTGAATTCAGGACACAGGCAGAGGTCTGTAGGGGTCCAACAAAGGGGCTGGGAATGTAGAATGCGGTTCTCAAACTTCCTTTCTTGCTCTTCTGTACTGGCACCACTGGGAGGCAGTGAAGCTCTTTGTGTCACCATGCTCTGGAGTAAGCTGGGGGCTCGCTGTGGTTGGTGGGGCTCCAGAGACTGACCCTTTCCCTGACTGCCCCTCTCCCCCTAGGAGTGCGTGGTGTGGGGTGCTTGTGTGTGTATATGCCCATCCTACCAGGCTTGTCCTAGGATGAGGAGTGCCTGAGCAAGAAGCTGAGAGACCTTAACCTTCTATCCGCTCTTTGACATCCCCGAATCCAGATAGAAGCAATATATGAGTCAGGGTCTCTTTCCTGGAATGCTGGTAGCACTATGTGGAGAGAGGGGGCGTCCTGGTGTGGCGCTGTGAGATACTGCACTGGACCGTCAGTGGTTCAAATTCACCAGCTGCTCCTCAGAAACCCTATACAGGGTTACTGAAGTTCGGAACCGACTTGATGGCACTTAACAATGGGGAGGGAAGGAGAGTTGATGTAGCCCCTTTCCTCAGCCCCTACCCCAGCAATAGTGCTTCAGGTTTTGCCTCCTGATAGGGGCCCAGGTGGACATTCTGAAGGAGGATTACTCAGCTGCTGTTAAATCCTCAAATCCCACTCCCAACTAAAGCATTAAACTCCAGACCCATCCCTCCTCACCTCAGGGTGATCAGACTGAAGCACCAAGCCTGACATCTCCCAGCCTCCTTACAGGGATCAGCGGGGGATACCCAGGCTCTGCTGCTTATGACCCACTGTGTGGCGCTGGGTATGACACTCTGGGAACCTCAGTTTCCTTATCTGTAAAATGGGAATAGCAGTCACACCCTCAGCATAGCTGTACGTGTTAAATGACAGTGCAAGGTACCTGGCATGTAGCAAAGGTTTGTTCCCATCTCCAACCAGAACTACTACGCACTGGTAGAAGAAGGTGACTTGATTACCCCCACAAACCTTAGGATCCCCTATCCCTAGCCCTTTCCTTGCTTTCTGGTCAGACCCCCCTCAAATTTTCCCCTCCCCTCAAATTCAGGGGCCAGGAACAGTGAAGAAGGAGCAGCCCTAAGTTCAGACAGCAGGCCAAACCTTCAAGGTCCTGTCCATAAAAGGCTTTTCCCGGCCAGCTCCCCCGCTGGCAGTGGGCCCCGCCTCCCCACCCGCTCCATCTCCAAAGCACGCAGAGAATGTCTCAGCAGCCCCCGGCAGAGTGCTCCAACTTGGTGTCTTTCCCCAAATATGGAGCCTGTGTGGAGTCAGTTGGGGGGGGGCCAGGCCTGGGGAAGGGAGCCTGTGTGGAGTCAGTGGGGGCGGAGGGGGGGTGGCAGGCCTGGGGAAGGGAGCTGGTTTCCTCCAGCAGGGAGGGGGCTGAGGGGTAAGGCAGCGGGGGAGGCTGACATCACCCAGGCACCAGCCCTTTAAACCCCTCACCCAGCCAGCGCCCTGTCCTGTCAGTCCAAGCCCCAGATACTGCAAGCTCACTCCTTCCTGATAGCCTGAGGAAACCGTGTAAGTGCACTGCTCCAGGGTTGGAGGAAAGTTGGGCCGGACTTGACAGTTAGCAGGGGTACCTTGCAGACAGGGCTCAGGGAGGTCCCTGCTGGGGAGACCACCTTTCCCAGTCAGCAGGTATGAAGTCTCAGTCCTAATCTTCAGGAAGGTGGGAAGCAGTCTAGCTTGATGGTAAGGTGGGATTGCTAAAGTTCCATGGGACAGGGTGGGCTGAGATACTAAGGATTTGACTAGTGTAGAGGAGTTGAGCAACCTCAGGCAATGTGATAGATAGGACCACCCGCATTTGGTATTCTGAAACAAGCTGGATTGGCAGGTGTGGGTCAGGTGAGAGTACTGTTCCTCTGGGCACACAGTCCCTTCCTTAGTTTGAGAATGGGCAGCCACCATTGTAGGCGGAGGGATGGTGAGTGGGGACTGCCAAGGAAGGCCTTTGCAGGGATGGGATGGGCTGCTCAGACAAGATTGGCTGGGTGGCCTGGAATCCTAGGGTCCTGGTGGATCCCCTTAGGGTTTCAAAACAAAACCAGAACCCAATGCCAACTCATAGAGACACTATGAGTATAAAGACTTGAACTATCATGTTCTGGGCTATAACCTTTATGACAGAAGACTGCCACATTTTTTCTCTTGTGGAGTGGCTGGTAAGTTTGAACTGCTGATCTTTCAGGTAGTAGCCAGCTGTTGAATGATGGTGCTACCAGGGCTCCTACCATCAAGGCGACCCTAGAGAACAGGACTAAATCTTTATGGGGAGCAGACAACCTCCTCTTCGAAGGATGGGTTCGAATCTCTGGCCTTGTAGTTAGCAGCTATAAACGTAACCACTGTGCCCATAGGGTTCCTTAGTAGTTGTTGAGTACCATCAAGTTGTTCTAACTCAGAATGATCCTGTAAAGGGTTTCTGAGGAACAGCTAGTAGGTTTGAACCATCAACCTTGCAGTTAACAGTTTGGTGCTTATTCTATAGTGCTACACCAGAACTCCATTATTGTTGTTGTTGTGAAGTGCTGGTGAATCATTTCTGACCCATCGCAACCCTATATAGGGTGTCCGAGGAGGAGCTGATGAGCTTGAACCTCCAACTTTGCAGTTCAAACAGCTTTGCCGTCTGTCTGGCGCATACCAGGACTCCAGGACTCCATTACTGCTTGTCAAATAGAAGCAGTGAGGAGGGGCACACACATTTGTGTGGTAGGGCAGCTCTTCTTTGTCCCTGGTTTCATTTAGATGAAACCCTATACAGGGTCTCTATGGGTCAGAACTGATTTGATAGCACTTAACAACAAAAACTCTTGATGTAGTCTCAGATCCAGAGGTACTCACTCCTGTTGGCTGTTTGAAGAGAGAGGGCACAGCAATTGTAGGGAGACCCTGATGTACAGGTTTTTCTGGGCTCCTGTGGGCAGGAGGTGGTACCTCCCCCTTTGTTCTTTCTCCACTGCCCAGCCTCCCACACTGAGGAGAAGCCTGATAGGAGCCACAGGACGTGAGCGGCAAAGCAGAGCCTAGGGCTGTCCATCTTTCCAATCCTTTGAGCCTTGTCTAGAAATGCCCCTGGAGGACTGCCGGGAAACCAGCTCCCTTTCTTCTTCCCAACAGCTCAAAGGTGGGGTTGGGGAAGCCGTCCTCAAGGGACCTTCAGGGATTTCTTGGGACACTCCACTTTCAGACCCTTCACCAAGAGGGAAAAGGAGAATGGTGGTGGCTGGCTGTGTGTTTTGTTTTCTTCCCTTGCCCTTCCCAAATATTGCTTCTTGATCTGGGGCTTGTCACTCTGTATACTTGTCACCTTGAATTGTTTTGAATCTCTTAGACTGAAAGCTGGGATTGGGGAGACATGTTCTCCTTCTAGCTTGTTTTTCACATGCCCACAAATGGTCTGGGAGCAGAAGCAGAAGGCAGATGTGAGAGTGGGTAGGGTGGGGTTACAGCAGGCAAGAACACCCCCAATACAGGGAGGCAGATGTCTAGGATGGGGCCAAGGCTGAGACTGAGGGCCAGGATGAAGGACTAGCTGAAATCACTGGGTCCCAGCTGAGTTCTAGATTTAGCTTCACAGTTCTTTCTGGTTGGGATAGAAAGTGGAAGCATGGTGGCCGTGCGTGGGATGGAGACAGAAGAACTTGGCAGTTTGTAGCCCCCCCCCGGAGGGGTCAAGAGCAAGAGCAGACCTGCCTTTTTGGTTCTCTGGCATCACTGGCTGGGAGTAGGGGGAGGGAAAGTTGAGGCTGGCAAATCTACTTTGTTCACAGAACCACTCAGGGAGAAGGGACTTGCCCAAAGGCGGCATGGCGCTTCCGAATCCCAATCAGTGTCTTTTGCCCCAAACTTTGCTGTGCCCTCAGGGTATGATTTTGAAAAGGGATAGAGGCTGGAGGTTAAGAAAAGCACTTTATAACCCAGTCAAGGGATGGCTTCCTTCTAGGTCATAGCCAGACACTGGCTCTGGGGGCCTAGGGACTGATGCTTTCAGGGGCTCTGCTACATGTTTGTCACTATTATGTTAGAGACCCCACAGACATTATCTCATTTCATTCTCACTGTTCTCTGAGGTAGATAGTGTTTTCCACTTCATAGATGGGAAACTTAAGCTCAGAAAGTTGACTGCTGTAGGGAAAAGGAAGGGCAGGGCAAATGGAATTTAGCAACTTCCCTGGGCTGAATGTGACGTGATGGTGACAGCTGTACTTGCCACAGTGATGGGGATACAGAGAGGGTCTCAGTCTGACAAGAGATGGAGCTGGGACCAGGCTGACTGCCTCTACCCATCTTCTCTTCTCCTCCCCTTCCCAGCCCCTGACCTTGGAGCAGAAGAGATGGGTTTGCTTTCATTTGATACCTCTTTTGGAGGTCTCTTCAGACCAACACTGGGCAAAAGGAACACCTCTGCGGGGGAAGCCCTGGGTCCAGGTCCCATACTTCTTACCCAGTCATCCCCATGTGCAGCCAGTGGCTTACAGGGTTGCCCCTGCAGCTCTCCTTTTGTAGGGCTGTCCAGGGTAGTGCCAGCCCCAGGCCCTTAGGGAGGAGCTCCCCAGTTCTAGCTGATAGATTCTTGGCTTTGGAATCTCCCTGGAGGATTCTGGCATCTTGGTTACTCCAGCTACTGCAGTGGTGAGCACCCAAAAGCAGGCATACCAGCTCCCACTCCCATTCTGGTTCATCTCAGAAATACAGATGCTTGGTCAAGAGCCTCTTGGGCTTTGGTGGCTTCCTAGAACTTGCCAGGGGTAGGTACTTTTGAGATGTCTTTGTTGTAAGGCCAGAGGTTGAGCTGACCTGGTAAAGACGTGGAGTTTTGGAGTTCCAACTTCTGGGCTAGAGGATAAAGTTGGGACAGAAGTTAAGAGTAAGAAGTCACTTTGTCCCTTGAGGCCGAGGCAGTAAATCACCTCACACCTAGCTGTACAGAAACCTCCGCTGCCTTTATTTTAGGGACAATGCAGCCTGCTGAGGAAGGCTTCTTCTTTGCCTCTGTGTCCAATATCGGCACAAAAAAGTTCTAGACCAGGGGTTGGCAAACTATGGCCTGCTTTTACAGTTTTAGTATAAGTAAGCAACTTTCATTTGTCTATATATTGTCTACAGCTACTTTCACGAGATTAACAGCAGAGACCATGTGGCCTATAAAGTCTAAAATATTTACTGTTTGGTTCTTTACAGAAAAAGTTTACTGACTGATCCCTGCTCTAGATCTCCAAAGATCTGATATCCTGTTTCCCAAGTTCAGAAAGGCCCCCTGGACTCAGGGGTTAGCCTGCCCCATTGGGTAGTGCTGCAACAATAAGAAGTGAGAGGAGGCAGACAGATGCCGAGGGTGCCCTGCACAGAGCAGGAGGACTTCCTAACACAAGTCAAAGACAGTTATTTTCTGACCCTCTGACCTCTCCCTTCTCTATCCCATCAGCTTTAGCTCTCCTCAGCATGGCCAACAAAGGTCCTTCCTATGGCATGAGCCGAGAAGTGCAGTCCAAAATTGAGAAGAAGTACGATGAGGACCTGGAAGAGCGGCTGGTGGAGTGGATTGTGATGCAGTGTGGTCCTGATGTGGGCCGTCCAGACCGTGGGCGCCTGGGCTTCCAGGTCTGGCTGAAGAATGGTGTGGTAAGTGGCACCCTGAGGGAGAGGACTGAGATGGTGCCATTCTGCCGGAGTCCTGGGGGCAGACACCCTGTGCTGAGTGCCAAGTTGTGTCCTATGTCTGACAGATTCTGAGCAAGCTGGTGAACAGCCTCTATCCTGATGGTTCCAAGCCGGTGAAGGTGCCTGAGAACCCCCCCTCCATGGTCTTCAAGCAGATGGAGCAGGTGGCTCAGTTCCTGAAGGCTGCCGAGGACTATGGGGTCACCAAGACTGACATGTTCCAGACTGTTGACCTCTTTGAAGGTATAAGAAAGAAGAGGGATTTGGGGGTGAGGGAGACAGGCGGACAGGAGGCTGAGGCAGGGAGATGGAAAGATAGCAGGAATGGGATATGCCAAGAGAATTCCATAGCACTGACCAAGCATACTGCGGGCCCTACTGAAGCCTGATTCTGACTTCTGCCCCTGGTTTGGCCAGTTTTGATGAGAGACACGGACAGACTTTGGCTTGAGTCTTGTTTATAGAGTCCTAAAATTCACCCTGCCTTCCCCCTTTCTTCTCACAGGCAAAGACATGGCAGCAGTACAGAGGACCCTCATGGCTTTGGGCAGCTTGGCAGTGACTAAGAATGATGGGCACTACCGTGGAGATCCCAACTGGTTTATGAAGTATGTGGGCAGGGGCCCCAGGAATCCCCTGTACGCTAAGCTTAGGTCTCTACGTTGTGGTGGCAGATGGCTTGAGCTAACCAGCTTGTGGGAATATTATAGGGAAGCAGATAACCAAGAAGTAAGAAGCAAGGAGCTAGGATGGGAGGGAAATGGGTCCCTAATACTTCCTGTTTCCTTCCTTTCTACCTTCATGTGCCTGTCTGGCCTCTGGATCAGCTAGACTGAAGAGAAGAGAGAACTGAACCAGGAAGGGAGTGGGCCTGGGATAGGAAGGAACAGAGGAATCAGAAAGCAGGTGGAAAACATGAGGTCCTGACAGACAAGTCTTTATCTTGGTTCCTCCTCTTCTAGGAAGGCCCAGGAGCACAAGCGGGAATTCACAGAGAGCCAGCTGCAGGAGGGCAAGCATGTCATCGGCCTACAGATGGGCAGCAACAGGGGGGCCTCCCAGGCCGGCATGACAGGCTACGGCCGACCTCGGCAGATCATCAGCTAGAGGGTGAAGGGCCAGCCCTGAGCCCTGCCCTTCCCCAGCTCATTGGCTGCAGCCCTGCCGCCTAGCCCGCCTCCCCCACACCTGTGTAGTTCCTGTAGCCTTGGCCAAGCTTTGAGGCTCTGTCACTCAGCAAAGGTGACTGCACATGGGCAGCTGTCCCCCACCCCTCAGTCCAACTCCTTACCCCGTCGCACCACTGCGCTGGCCAGCCCCTCTCCCAGCCTCTGCCCTCTTCATCTCTGCCCACCCCAGGCTAAGCCAGGGGGACAAGGGCTTGGGGTAGCCCAGGTGTGGGCCAAGTCCACTGTCCTCCTTGGCAGCAAATATCCATTGAAAGAGACCCAGCCCAACTTCCCCACTTCTTCCCACCTATATTTTTTTGCTGGAATATTTTTTGGGGGATGAAATTCAAAACGGGGGAAAAAAAAATACATCAATCTTTTCTCAGGCCTGGCTGGCAGAGTCTGATTTGCATACTCGCTTCCATAACCGAAACCCAACCCAACCCACTGTCACTAAGGTGATTCCGACAGATAGTGACCCTACATAGGGTTTCTGAGACGGGGACAGACAGCCTCATCTCACTCCCGAGAGTGGATGGTGGCTTTAAACCACTGACCTGTGGTTAGCAGCCCAATGCTTAACCCCCAGCACTGCCAGGGTTCCTTCACTTCCATTATGGTCCCAGGAACTCAGAGCAGGGCACATGCAGGCATGTTGGGTTTCTGCATGTTCCTCTGAAGGGTCCTTGCATTTCAGGAGGCCAGGACCTCCCCAGTCTTCTAGAGGATCTGGCAATGGAAGAGGAGAGTGAATCCTGGGAGATGGAAAGGAAAGAGGAGCAACTTGCATTGGATTTGAGGAGGCAGAAGAAAGGAGAGACAGGAACTAGGCATCAGAATTTGGAAAGTTTTATTATTTTGGAAAAGCTGTGCAGAAAAAAAAATTCAACAAAATGTTGCTGTGAAGAGAACAAAATCTGAAGCTTTGAAAATATTCAAATCAACCAAGTAGTTCCAAAGAGGAGGAGGAGGCCAAGGTCTCAGCCTATCAGGTGGTCTGCTAGCCTTCCCGGAGACAGGAGGGAAGGCCATTTCCCTGAGCACTTTGCAGAGGAAGACAGGGTGGCTGCCGGGCTGGAATGGCAGTGGCTCCCAAGGCTGTCCCTCTGAAACACACACTCCTGACACTGGCTCTGCAATCCCACCGCGGACTTCCGTGAACACAGAGCAGGCCTCGGGAGCCCTGACTATCCCCAACTTTCCAGGAGCATCAGAAGGAGGGTGAGGGATGATGGATCATGGAGGCAGTGGCTTTCAGAGCAAGAATGCTGGGTTGAGGGCTAACTGCCATACCTGCACATCCAAGTGGTGGCAGGAAGGTGCAGGAGAGACAGGACAAGTCAACTGTTTCTGTGCCCTAGGTCACAAAAAAGACAGACATGCCCAGGGGCTCTTCCTAGCTCTCATCCTTGAACCCTCTACTCAGGTGATTTCCCAAGTTTCTGTTGAGATGCTCTCTGGCCATGGTAGACGCCTCCTCACCTCTGCGTAGGTGAGGGTCCCTATGACACACCACCGGCTTGCTCCAGGAAAGGAAGATGGAAGCCTGCCCACTGGGAGCCAATCCTTTGCACCAAAAGCTTCTTATGTTCAGCTGGACAAAGAAAGCTGTGGTGGCTCTTGGGGGACCCTTCTCTGGCACCACGCCTCTGCCCCCTTAAGAAGGCCCTTAACCTGAGCAGAGTTAGAGGGTGCTCTTCATGCCTCAGGATTCCAGATGTGAACACCAGGACTGCTTCATCACCAGGGTTCCCAGTTAGGTCTGGGAGCTGGGAGCACTATCCCAATTTGGGGAAGGAAGAGCCTACGCCGCATTGAGTCTGTCAGATCCTGGGGTCAGCACACGTGCTGCTCCTTTCCCTGTAACAGGTCTGGGGACAGGTACTGATGTGGGGAGTCCAGGGCACTCATGAAGTTCTGGGACAGGCTCCAGTTCTCCTGATGCAGCAGGTCTGGGGCAAGGAGACCAGAGGTGGTGGGAGGGTTCCCACTTTCTGTCTCCACCTCATCTACATCCTTGCTGGTACAAAGCGGCACTGATTCGAGCTCTGTCCCCTCCTCCCTGGCTTTTCGGCTCCGGTGCAGCCAGTGGCAGGGTCCACTCCTACAAACGGTGTCAGAGGCCACATTCCTCTGGCTCAAATATACTTCCAGCATGTAGTAAATAGTCCAGAAGATGGTGAAACAGCCTATGAGCACCAAGGTCTAGGGAGAATTCAAACACATTAGTGTCAGGGACTCTTCCCCAATGCCCTGAGCCTTTCTTATCTAAAACAACTCAGAGAGTCTTTCTCCTTTAAGGTGGGCTACTTTCCCACCCCCACTGCAAGGATGCCCTCTGAGTTAGTAGAGTAGGAACAATTCCAGGAAAACTGTTGGGACCCGGTCTTCCCAACCCCTCATTTCCCGACTCACCGTGATCATCATACCAAGGTCTAACCTCCCTGGGACCGTCTGTTAGTACCTTGAGGGTGTTGGGGGTGATGGTGTAAGCATCCTCCTCAGGGATTTTCAGCCCAGGTGGGCAGGGCAGAGAGAAGTCATCATGCAGGTATTTTCCACTCATGGCACTTTCTATCAGCCTACGGGAAGGAAGGATGCTCTACTGAACACGTTCCTCAACTGTCTGTCCTTAGCCACCCTTCCATCCACAGAAAGAAGAGGGGATACTCTGTGGCTCAGAGGGAGTGGGGTAAACTATGTGGGCTCCTTGTCTCCCACCCCCTCCCAGACGTTGCCCCAGGTCATTTAATGGAGCCATACCCACCTCTGTCTGTCCCTGATGTCTACTGCACTCCACACAGAGCCATACAGGGTCAGCTGCCACCTCCAGAGGGTGCCGGCCTGGGCTGGCTGGTTTCCTAGGGCAGTAAAGGGGTCACCCCTGAGGCATGCTCCTCTGTTGGCCAAACAGCAGGGACCCTGTGAGGCCCACCATCCAACCAAAGCGACTCAGACAAGGTCTGCCCTAGCAGTTGTCTGACAGTGTCCCACTGACCCCAAGGTGCTGCACAGGTGCCTCAGGGGATGACCTGAGTAGAGAAGTTTTGTTTTTATCTCTTTCATATTTTTTAAGTTTTTGCTGGGATTTTGCTTGGAGAAAAAACAAACTAAAAAAGCCCTTTTACTAAACCAAAGAAAAGTTTGAGAACCATTGATCTAGTGAATACCTAACTGGACTAGAAGGGAGGATACTAGGGATCAATTTCTATTTTTCTTCCCTGAGCTACCGTGTGACCCTACACAAGTCCCTTCAAACCTCCTTAGCTGCCTCCCAGGGCTGGTTGAAAGGTAACTACATGTGAAAGATCTGGAATCGTGGTTTCAATGAGGGACTTTCATTGCTATCCAGAGGAACAATGGGTCAGTCGCTTCTCCAAGGAATATGAGAGGTACACGTGAACAGATTCCGATATCAATGGCCATTTTGGGGGGTGGGGCACACTTCTTAGCATCTACCCTATGATTCCACATGGGAACTGGGGACTCTGAGATCCAGAGTGACAGACTGCAATCTTGAAAGGCAGGGAGGGCCCTGGTGGAGGCTCACCTACATCCCTGATAGCGAGTCTGTAAGTCCCTTTTGCCCTTTCCCCCCAGCATCGCACGGTGGAGAAGGTCCAGTCATCGAAGCCATTGGGATCCCTGGGGAAAGAAAAGAGTAGAAAACGTGGTGGGCGTGGTACAACGAATGGAGCCTTTCTCCAGGAAACCTTCCTTTCTCACTGTAGTAGCCACAACAATGAAGCCCTTGTTGTCTGAGCTACAGTTATTTGAGATTATGTTATGAGGGGTCTCCAAGTGCTGTCCCTTGCCTCTCGGATTATGGAATGAGGAAATGAATCAATGTGGGGCGGTAGAAGTGCAAACATGGAGAGAACACAAGCTCGAGTCAGAAAGATCTAGGTTTACACTAACTGCTCAGGCACTTACTAGCTCTCTGTCTTTATCTCTTCAGTCTCCTCATTTATCAAAGGAGGTTACAAAGTCTACTCTTCAGGGCTCTTACAAGGATTTTTGTTGTTGTTGGGTGCCGTAGAGACAGTTCTTATTCATAGTGACTCTGTATAAGTTTTCTGAGGAGTGGCTGGTGTGTCTGAACTACTGACCCTGAGGTTTGCAGTTCAGTGCTTATCCTACGTGCCACACCAGGATTAGAGGAATCCCTTACAAGGGTTAGAGGAAACATGAAGCACTGTGCTTTACTTAAAGCATGCCATAAATGGCTGCTGGGACAGCCAGTGCCACACAGCTGAAGACACTGTCCGTGTCCCATTTTCCCCTTTTCTTCTTGAGAAGGTCCTTGTTGCAAGTGTACTTACGTGTCCAGGCTGCGGGGGGCGCCGATAAGGGACATCATGCCACTGGGGCAAAACAGTTTCAGTTCCAAGCTGCCGCGTCGTGGGTGGGTGATAGAGACAGTCACTGCCACATGCTCCAGGGTCTTCAGTCCCGACATCTCCAGGTCCATCCTGCTGACTGTGGGAAGTCAGGCTGGGCAGTTGAGAAACCAGCCCCATAAACACTCATGCCCTCACTGCATCCCAACATACACCAAGGTACACACTCAAAGACACCATCACTGGAACCATATACAAATATCCATGGCAACCCTAAGTAGGTATTCCACATGAAAACTGGGACCCAGTACCAGGAAATAGAATGCAGTTGCTCTCAAGGAGTTTGCAATCGACTTGGGAAGATAACACATATCTAACATTTCTGGAGTATCTACTACATTTCTGGTATCGCACTAGTCATTAGGAAGAGAAAGATAAATCGGACATAGTCCCTGCCATCTATCTGCAAATAGAAACTGATAAGGTATGAAGCATACATAATTGATAAGAAAACAGAGATGTCTGTTTAGGCAGATAGTCTGCTCTGAAGAAGGAAATGAATATCCAGACTGGCAGAGTATTAGGGAAGGGGAAAATGGCATGCACAAAGGCAAAGGTGGAAATGAACAAGTCTCATATTGAAGACAATAAATACAATATTAATTTTAAAAAGCAAAACGCACACACAAGAAACTCCTGAAGTGGATAAATCTCAAGGCAATTACGATGACTGAAAAAAGATACTATGACAGTATCCCATTTATGTAACATTCATAAAATGATGTAACTGTACAGCCAGAGGGCAGATTAGAGGCAGCCAGGGGCTAGGAGTCGGGGAAGGGTGGGTGAGGCCATAAAGGGGAACAGGAGGGAGCTGGGGCGATGGCAGCTCTGAGTCTTGTTGGTGGTGGTAGAACAGCACATGCTACACATGCACACAGATACAGACGAGCACACGCGCACACTGTGAGATCTGAAGCGTGTCCAGGGACTGCTGCACTAACGTTGATTTCTCAGTTCTGATATTGTACGAGAATAGTAGAAGGCACTGGACATAGAAAGAAGCTAGGGGAAGGGTACACGTGATGTGCTTGTACATTTCTTTGCAACTTCCCGTGGATTGGATAATTACTGAACAAATAATTATTCTCATGTATAATCATTTCAAAAAATCAAAAGTTTTAAAAAACGAAAAGAAACAAAAACAACCTATGAAAGTGGAATATTAAGAGATTAGGTTTGGACACGGAGTAATTCTAAAATATTCTTCCTCCTGTGAACTCATTCCAGCAGAATTCCAGACAGAGAGCAGTATTTTCATTTTACCAGCGAAGAAGCTTGGAGGGGGATGGGAGTTGAATGGCAGGGGACCTACGATGGGAAGGGCTTTGAAACATTTATTTTAAATAAGCAACTGAGAGCTATTCTAGACTATGGAGCAAGGATGGAGTTTAAAAAGGAAAAGGTGCCCCATGAAGTTTACTTTTAATAGCTGTGGGTACGATGGACTAGAGTGAGAAGGAAGCTGGTGATAGGCAGACCAGCTTTCTTGTTGTTGTTGTTGTTAAGTGCCACCGAGTTGGTTCCAATGCACAGTGACTCTGTATAGGGTTTCCAAGGAGCAGCTGGTGAGTTTGAACTGCTGACCTTGAGGTTAGCAGTCAGTACTGACCCTATAGCACCATGCCAAGCTTTATTCTAGCCATGAGGGGATGCAATACTCCTTTCTTGTGCACTGAGTAAAGGTTTCCAGTCAGCACCTTAAAGACTGCAGTCCCTCAGCGCACTCACTTACTCCACAGTTTCTGTGTTCCTTTCTCCATCCCTCCTTCTTTCCCAATTTCTTAGGCCCCCCTTCTCTCCTGTCCTGAGGAAAATGCTGCCCTTTCTTCATCTCCAAGGGTTTGTTTATTCTAAGGTGTGTGTACTTAACTAGTGTTATTGTTCCCTTTACAGAACTGTTTATTGTTTGGCTGAGAATTGAGCGTGGGGGTTAAGTTCAGTTCCAGACCTGCAGAGTGGCTAAGGGTGCCATCGTTCCAGGGGTTTAAAAGTTTTCTCTTAAACCACTTTCTGCCCCTCTGGGTCCCTACCCTATAGTTCCCTTCTCATTGCCTTCACTGGACAATTTCCCCTCCCATAGCTTCACAAATTTTTACCTCCTGACTCCATCCCATGACAGAGACTCACACTCAGGACCACACCCTAGGTTTTGTCAGCACCTGGATGGTTCAGCCATGTTTACTGTAGTTTTTCTTACTACGTAAGTGGTACAAGCTAATTCAAGACAAATAAGAAAAATAGATGAGCACAATGGAGACAAAAAATGTACCCAGGAACTGAACTTACCCCTGGCTCAACTTTCAGACAAAGACTAAACAGTCTTGTAGGGAGAACAATACAGTCAGGGAGCGAAGAACTCCTTAGGACAATCAACCATATGACGTCAAAAGGGCAGCCCTGTGCCCAGGGGTAAAGCTCAGCAGGCGGAAATGGAAAGGTCAAATGGAAATGGAAATGGTAAACACAGGAGGGAAGTGGGAAGAGTGCTCTGACACTGTGGGAATACAACCAAGGCCACCAGGCAAATTGTGTACCAATGGTTGAATGGAAAACCAATTTGCTCTGTAAACTCTCACTCTAACCACACGTTAAAAAAGAGAAAGTACGCACAACACTTGATTGCATTTTGACAAATACTCTTCCAGCAATCTCTCTGTGGATGTGTTTTCTTTAATTCCTTCTGTCTACTTTTATAAAGGAGTCCTGGTGTGGCGCTACAGGATAAGACGCTAGACTGCAAGGTTGGTTTGAACCACAGGTTGGCAGTTCAAACTCACCAGTTGTTCCTTAGAAACCCTATACAAGGTCACTGAGATAACTGCTGGCACTTAACAACAACTCTGATAAAGGCCCCCTTCTCTGATAACAAACTTTGTCCTTCCACTCCCCCACTCTTGTCCTCTTCTGTTCCTTGCAACCATCAAGCTCCTCTTCCCTAACTGGCTTAGACCACAGCTCAGCTTCCCAACCACTCTCTTGTTTACATCCTCAAGCTTCCACTGCTGCCTTGCCCTTTCCCAGCAACTATCTGGCAAAAGTCTGACACTGGGTCAGCCCAATTATGCATCTTCTTGGCTGGATCTTCTTGCTTATAACTTTCTATTATAATGAAATATAAAGCATATCAAACCTTTCTCAACTCTTCATTTCCCTCCACCTGCCAGTGAAGCCTGGCTACAAATCCCAGCTCTGGCTTTTACTAGCTGTGAGGACCTGGCTAAGTCACTCTTAGTGCCTTAGTTTCCTTATCTGTAAAATGGGGATAATAATAGTACCTGGTTGATGCTGTAGGATCAGCACTGGACTGTTAACCACAAGGTTAGTGGTCCAAACCCACCAGTCGCTCCCTGGAAACCCTATATAGAGTTTTGTGAGTCAGAATCTGCCTTGACTACACTTAACAACAACAACATAGGAGTCATGGTATGATTAGCTAACATATGTAAAGTGTTTAGAACAATACTTAGCAAATATTGTTGTTGTAGCTAAGTGCTGTCAAGTCCGTTCCAACCCACAGTGACCCTGTATAGGGTTTCCGAGGAGTGGCCACTGAGCTTGAACTCCTAGCTTTGCAGTCCAGTGCATTAACCCCACAGCACCACGTCAGAATTCCAAATATGAACAAATGTTGCTGTTAAGTGCTGTCAAGTCATTTCCGACCCATAGTGACCCTGTATAGGGTTTCCAAGGAGTGGCCACTGAGCTTGAACTCCTAGCTTTGCAGTCCAGTGCATTAACCCCACACCACCACATCAGAATTCCAAATATGAACAAATGTTGCTGTTAAGTGCTGTCAAGTCGTTTCTGACCCATAGTGACCCTGTATAGGGTTTCCAAGGAGTGGACGGTGAGCTTGAACTGCTGACCTTGCAGTTCAAACCAGCTTTGCAGTCCAGCCCATTTACCCACAGTGCCATACTAGGACTGCAGCAAATATTGGTGGCTGTGTGCCGTGGAGTCGGTTCCGACTCATAGCGACCTTGTACCAGGGTTTCCGAAGCTGTAAACTTTACGGGAGCAGAATGCCTCATCTTTCTCCCGCGGAACAGCTGGTAGTTTCAAACTGCTAATCTTGTAGTTCGCAGCCCGATTCGTAACTACTACGCTACCAAGGCTCCTTCCAGCAAATACGTGTTGTTGTTTCTAAGTGCCGTTGAGTGGGTTCCAACCCATAGCAACCCTGCATAGTGTTTCCAAGGAGCGACTGTTGAGCTTGAACCACTGACCTTGTAGTTCAAACAGCTCTGCAGTCTGGCGCATTAACTCACAGCACTACACCAGGCCTCCCCAGCAAATATTAGGGCTATGTAAATGTAAGATGGCCAAACTTCATCTGTCATACTTCAGACATATTGTCAGGAGGGACCAGTCACTGGAGAAGGATATCATGTTTGGTAAGGTGGAGGATCAGAGAAAAAGAGGAAGACCCCTAACGAGATGGATTGGCCAAGTAGCAGCATCGATGGACTCAAGTGTGGCAACAGTAGTGAGGTTGGCCCAGGATTGGGCAGTGTTTCGTTCTGCTGTGCAAAGGTCACTATGGGTCGGTACTGACTCGATGGCACCTAACAACAACAAATGTAAAATTGCAAGGTCGGCGGTTCAAACACACCAGCTGCTCCACGGAAACCCTATACAGGGTCGCTATTGGGTCAGAACCAACTCGATGGCACTTCACAACAACAGCAAATGTAAGATATTCTTTTCCTTTTCTGTTAGATTTCTATGGAAAAAAAACCTGTATATAGTTACTATCACTACTTCTTACCCTCCCATTCATTCTTAGCACTTTTTTTCTATAAAATTCATATAGTATAGTTTCAAAAGCACAGCACTTACAATGGGAAAGAGCAATCCCCTAAACTCCTTACCACTAGACCTACTCCCTAGAGGTATGCTCACTTTCTATTGTTTTCAGCTGCTTCCTTTTGGGATTTCCCTCAGGGTTTCTAAACAATCACCATACACTGGTTTATGGTTTACTAACTCAAGTTTTTCTCCCCAGCTGGCTCTCTCTTCTATTTTCTCAAACTAATTATACAACTTTTGGACCCATCAGTCTCTTGTTTTGCCTTCTACATGCTGCGCGGAGTCTAGTATGATTTCTCTCTGGAGTTAAAAATTGCTTTGATTTGGGTTTACTTCATTTTCATGTTCCGATCTAATCCTTCCCAAATGCTACCATTGAACCACACAATCTGCCCTTTACTATGTTTTCAAATGAACAAACAAGTCAGGGGCTCCCTCAGTGTCATTTGCCTCTGGGGATTCAAGTTCTGGAACTCTCTGTCCCACTGTTATCTGCTGCAGGGCTGCTGAGTGAAGCCCTTTCTTCACCGCTCCTCAGGGCATAAGCTCCCTCTTTCCCTTCCTTTTTCCTTCCTCCCTCCCCTTCTCTTCTCTTTCCTTTTCCTCATACTTGTTATGAAAACATACTTTTAAAAAACTTATATTCTCAATGCCTAACTTCAATAATTAGCAGTACATGGCCAATCTTGTTTCATTGATGATCCCTACTTCTTCCCCTTCCCAGATTCTTTTGGTGGAATTCCCAGGCATCAAATCACTTTGCAGTAAAGATTCAGTCTTTGTTGTTATGGCTTTCTGTGAGGACCTTTGCTGTCTTTCCCAGGTGGTGGAAGGCATCTTTCCTCTGTCCTTTCAAAGCACCCTGAACCATCTCCCCACACTGCTGATAACCCTGCACTACACTGCACGGTATTAGGCCTGTCTACCCTAATGCATTGTGAGCTCTAGGTGGAGAATAAGCTCTAGCACCAGCATCTTACCCCAGAGTCCCTAGACCATAGCTTAGTTCAGGGCCTGGGAGGAGGTAGAGCTAATATATTTGTAGGATCAATGAGTGAATCAATCAAGAGAGACTTTAGAGAATGAAGGAAAGACTAAACTGCAGGTGAAAGGCTAGGAAAGACCAGGGGAAAGGCAAGGGATTAAAAAACTGAAAAGTGCAGTGTTTGAGGTTTGGGACCCCATGGAATGGGAATGGCACTGATAGAATGGGAGAAGCTTGAAAAGCAAACTGGCTTTTGTTGTTAGGTGCCATCAACTGGCTTTTGGGAGGTTATAATGAATTCTTAAAATGTGTGCATGTTAAATGTCATAAATTGGTGGAATATCCAAGTGGGCACAGTGACTTAGGAATAGATAGATGAAGGGCAATACCCATAGCTTAGCTGAAGGAGAATATTAATGTGGTAGAGAAGGGGCTTACAGGTGAGTGAATGACATGTTACAGAACATTCTGGAGCAGGACAGAAGCTCAATCCGGTGTGGGCAATAGCATGCTATGTACATGTCTGCTGAGGCTGTGTGTACAATGCCATGGATGGCACTAAAATTATTTCTACTAGAATTAAATGAATTAATGCTTATAAAAGTGCCTGGCACAAGAAGATGGAGGCAGAGATGATGATGTGGAGAGATGAAGTGGCTGGGAACTCTAGACCCAGAGAGGGAGAGGGGCTGTGTGCTGACGACTGGAGGGGCAGGCTAGCAGGGTATACCCTTTGGTTGGTAGATGATGCATGGTGGGGATTGTAACCATGACAATGAAACGATGTATGACAGGATGAATGTAAAACTAATGTTTTCCCATGTAAACTATCACATAATTCACAATGTTGTTGTTGTTGTTGTTAAGTACCGTGGAGTTGGTTCTGACTCACAGGGTTTCCAAGGCTGCAAATCTTTATGGGAGCAGAAAGACTCATCTTTCTCCCGCGGAACACCTGGTAGTTTTGAACTGCTGACCCTGAAGTTAGCAGCCCGATTCGTAACCACCAGGCTACCAGAACTCCTTAAATTCATAATAAAACGTTAAAAAAAAAAAAAAAAGTGCCTGGCACAGACTAAGCACTCAGGTCTTGGTGTATAATCATCATCTTATCATGGTCATCACTATTTTGCCTTTGATTAGCTGGAACCTTTTTCAACGCTTGTTCTTTGTCCCGGAAGATCTTGGGGCTATGTTTGCCCACAGTCTTGTGGAATCTTTGGAAATCTTTACCTCTCTCACTGGTAAGGGATCTGGACCTTGGACCCATTAATGAGGAGGTAGCTAGCGCTGTAAACACAGGTGTACTGTCTGAGGCAGAGAACGTAGACAGAGCATAGAGTCATGGAATGAGTCATAGGGGACACGCAGAGTTTGGGAGTAGTAAGAAGAAACAAATACCTCAGGCAGAGAAGTCGGATTAGGGCTACGAAGCAAGGGAGGTCACAGATGCTAGAGGAGGAGAGAGGGTCAGAGTTACAGGAAGGTTAAGTCAGCTGGATTCTAACTGGGAAAGGGGCACTGCGTGTCAGTTACTCCTCAGTGCAGAGGGAGCACAACAGGAATGAGCAATTGTTTTAGCTAATTCGTTTTCAAAGTTTCCAGGTTAAAGGATGACAGGGACTTTAATTTGTTTCCAAATAGGTGAACTGAGGATGTTTGAAGGCAGAAGAAGAATCAGTGGAGAGGGCAAGACTGGGTTTAAGAGGGAAAATGTGGAGACAGGAAGAACAGCATTCCTTGTATTGCCAGAAGGGCCAGTCAGCATACCAGAGACGGCAGACAAGGATAAAAGGAGAGGTGTAGTGGGTGTCCAGGAATCTCCTAATGCACAGACTCTCTGGGTTATTAGCCATTCCTCCGCAAACCCCACTCTCCCGCCTCCTCTCTGGGGGAGGTTCAGACCCTAGGAGATCACGGGGACCCACTCCCTTTACCCAGATCTGCTCCTGTGAGTAGAAGGAAAGAAAAGCCTGTCTTGCTCTATAGCTGCACTAACCAATATGATCGCCACTAGCCATATGTGGATATTTACATGAATTACAATAAAATGAAAACTTTCTGTTCCTCAATAGCACGAGCCATGTTTGGATTGTTCAATAGCCTCATATTTCTAGTGGCCACTGAATTGAGCAGCACAGACATACAACATTTCCATCATCACAAAAAGTTCTACTCGACAACACTGCTGTGAGCCTTAGTGGTATTTCACCTCTTATTCTATCATAAAGCTGGTCAGCTTCTGTCACCTTACAACCTCAAATAGGTCCACAAGCTTGGACCTACTGTTGGCTCAGGGGTGAATGAAGTCATGGCAGAGGGAAAGAGAGATTTGCTGAGCTCAGAAATTAGCGTGCCTGTGCTTGCTGCCCTCTAAACACATGAAGGTCTCCACTAGCAAAGCTCTCTCCATCGTTCTCTATTATGCCACCTCCCACTCTGCCTCACCCTGCACAATGTGTCCTTACTTCTCTTGCTTCCTAGTGGCAAGCACAAGCAGTTGCCCAAGATGCCTGAATATCTAGGGAAGTTTGTCAGACATTCAGGGCCAATATCAACTGGTTAGTGAGAAGCAGAGAGTGACCTAATACTCTTGTCATTCAGCTCATTATTTAACAGGTACAACTGTGGGTTACTTTGTTACTCCGATGACGGGAAGGGAGCTCAAACTTAAAAGCAGGGCTTTGAAACGGTTCAAAATGGTTTCATCATGGCTTTGTACAGTAACCAAATCTCTTGCAAATGGATTTTCACCTGCGCAGGAAACAGGCAGTGGTGTCTCACTCAAAGACGGTGGCCTACATATTCAAAGTAGCATGGCAGGCCGCCATCTTCAAGTGGGGCGTCTCTATGTTTTCCACTCAAAATCTGCTACATAAGAGATTTGGTTACTCTGCAGTAAATACACTGCCTTTGTTTCCATTGGCCAGAACTCCACCATTTCAAATCCATTCAATGTTCTGGTTAAAAGGCATTCTATCTCTAAAACATACTTGCGCAAAGCCAGGTGGTTACAACTGAACTGCACTCTTAAGAATGTTCCTGTACTTTTCTGCCTTGACTAATGCGTTTTGTCCTTCCCAAGATAGCATGCCTTTTATGGAAAATGCAATGAACAGGGGCATGGATTTCTTTCCACATAGAGGGAAATGGAGCAAGTGCTGGACACGGTTAAGGAGAGAGACAACTAAACTCTTCTTGGTAAAACTTCCACCCAAGGGGACCTGCCCTTGAGTTACCCTTCTAAGTTCCTGTCTCTGGTCATTCCATCTCCTACTGTTTTGAGTTGGTCACTTGTTAGGAGGGTGGGGGTAATGAGGATGGAATTCTAGTTTGAGCACTATGTTTGTAGTTGAAACATACATGATATGTTTCAACCTTTCCACCAAAAAAAACCCCAAAACAAGCAAATTACTTTGCTTGGCAAAATTCCTCCAGGAGCTGGATGTAGGAGAACACTCTGAAGCAGGAACTCTAGGAAATCTATAACAGATGATCCTCTAGCACAGTGCTCTAATCCGGCTCTTTCTTCTCTGGGAAAAGCTTCAACCTCTGTGCTCATTATAAGAACCAACTACTAGCCTAGAAGATCTACACCCCAGGACAATCCTAGAAGAAACGAATGAATACAATGGGCAGAATGATTGACCAAAGGCAGGGGCAAACGAGGGGCAACTGAAGTCTAGGGAGACCACTACACACTCTTCCACACCATCCCAACAGACAGATTGGACTCTCTCTGTATTAGATAAGCGTTGAAAATCAGAGAAAGAAATTCTCAACTTTTTTACTTCATTCAACGGCCACTGAGCTGAACAGAGTTTTCTGGCAAGTTCTTAGCAAGGGAGTCATAGGAAAGTCTTTCAACTGTTGCCGAGTCTCCTCAAGTCCCAAACCCACTCCTCCTAGCAGCCTTTCTAATCAGTTTCTTAGCAGCTCCTTTCCTCTAGTAGTAACTCAGAAGAAAGGTCTTATTTAAGCAGTCAGGGGGCCAGCCAACTCAGAAGCAGCAACATGTCCTAAAATGGTCAAAGAAAACTCAACAGGTTTGGCTGGAGCTCAGCTTCTAAAGGAAGGGGGGTAGAATCCAACAGGCAGGATGAGTTTAGCTTCCCCATCTCCCCGCCCCAAACCTCAGGCCCAAGATTAACCCCCTTCTTGCTGATCACTTACCATTCCACAGGACCTCCAGTGAACAGGGGGACAGTGGAATAGCCTTGTTCTCTTTTAACACAGGACTGACATATGATGCTAAGTAAGGTACAGATGTCCAGATCTATTCAAGGAGAGGGAGAAAGGGGATGCACAAATAAGATCGATGGCACACACACAGTCATCAATATGCTGCACAAAGCTTAGCTTTCTTTCTATTTTTCCTCTCCTACTATCACGTTGTCCTGGTGTGGTGCTGCAAGATAATGCACTGGAACATAAGGTTGGCAGCTCAAACCCACCAGCTGCTTCTTGGAAACTCTATACAAGGTCATATGGCACTTAACAACAACAGCAACATTTTCACCTAATGTCACTCCAAGACCTCATGACTCCTGAGGTCCTGATGACACTCGATGGCTACAAATCAATGAGGGTGTGGTGCTGTCAAGAGCCAGCACTCTGAGAGTCCCAAGCTATATCCAGGGCTTACACTTACTCTATTACTAGTTAGAAATTTTAATTATAGTGTTGAATCTGCCTTTATATTTATAAGACAGGTATCAACTGAGATTAAGGGAAAAGTGATCAAACAGAAGAAACGAATGAATACGAAGCCCTTAGAATGTGCTGGGCAATGTTTTAGATAGTTAGCCTGTTCACCTTGGCTGCATTGACGAGTCTCCACGCATTGAGGAGGCCAAAACCATGCTGGTGGCTATGACTGAAGCCTGCCTCGTTGGTGACCCAGTCTGCCCGGCGATCCTCATACTGCAAGGACAGAGGTCTTGGTTAGTCATCCTAACATCCTAACTCTGGTTTGCCTGTCCAGACTTTTCCAGTAAGGCTAATAGGAATGGATCTCCAAGGAAAATTGAGACAAAAGGTCAAAGCCCCCAATGTCACTATTCCAATGGCTTGCTTCTAGAGAAGGGGGCCAGGAGGCAGAGGTTCCTGAGGAAGGGAGACCAACTTGAGCTGTCCTCTGTAGGTAAAATGGCACTGGGTAGAATAGGTACACATAAGTTCAGGTCTGTGGTCTTGAATGGGACTTGGCAACTAACGTGTGGGACACTTTGAATGTGAGGCCTCCTGGTACTAGCAAATCCCTAGAACCAGAATTCTGGTGTAGGCTGGGCCGGGCCATGTGTCTAGCTGGTAGCCTCTCACCTGGGTGGCTGTGAAGACAATGATGTGCTGGACATCGCGCCACGTGAGGCAGGGTCGCACCTGCAGCATCAGGGCTATCATGCCGGCTGCCAGAGGTGCTGCAGCTGAGGTCCCTGTGTGGCCCTCAGTGCAGCCAGTGCCCTTCTGAAGGTCCCAGTCCGTGGTCACCTGGAGTGTGGAATGTAGGGGAGAGACTGAATTAGCAGGAGATGTAAATGGAGGGGACAGGGCTAATTCTCAAACTGGGCTCGGCTCTTGTTAGATTTGAATCTTTGACCAGAGGGGCCCTCCAGCAGGTCAGGACAAAAGAGGTCCTGAGTCCTTCTAGGCCTTACAAGAGAACCTTGGGAACTGAGAAAAGGTAATAAAAAGGAGAGTGTTTCTTATAAGGGTCTAGTTATAGGTGGAAAGGAGATAGAGACCTGGGAGAGGACCTAAGTGCAGAGAGGGGTCTCCCAACTCTTGCTCCTCTAATAGTCCTCACCCCAACCCTCTAACCTCCACAATCATGCTAGACAGAGGAAGTGGCGGGGCGCTCCTGGGCCTCAGCTGGAGCTGAGACAATGGTGACGGCACCATTCAAGGAAATCTAACTTGGCAGTTCAGCGATAGGGGCTGGGGTGACATCAGAGCAAACAAAGGGTGCTTGTTCTCTGGGAGAAGTAGCTGCCTCCTTGTCCAGCCTGTGGGTACAACATTGCTTCGTGTCTACTCTGCCGGCCTAGCATGGCCCTACCATCTATGGGACAAGCTGCATCGGTGCTCAGGGCCAGATGTGTCACCTTGGGTTCTGTGAGTTCTGAGGTGAGAGGAGAACGTGGGAGTAGGGGGGAGGACAGTGGCATGTGTGTGGGAGAGAGTCAACTTGAGAGCCACAAAGGGTTTCCCTGAGGATGGCCCTGCCTGCTGAAAGCTGCCCTCCACCATGTGAAACGTGGGATCCTTAGCCCAGGGTGCCAGAGTTAAGACTAGAGAATGTCTTTCTTCCCAATGTTTCTGGTCGGATACCAGGGTGCTGACTTCTGCCAAGAGCTGCCCTTTCTCCTTTGTACTCACTGCTTCCCTCTCAGCTGCCACAGCAGCTGCCAAGAGATGGAGTTTATACTCAGACATCGTGCACGCCCAGCAGAAAACGGGAAACAACTCTCCAAGTTGCTGTCTCAATGAGAGTGGGAAGCCTGGTTTGTGCCAGGGAGCAGATTGATTTCTTCCTGTTAAGGGAACAGCCTCGCAGTGACCAGTCTAGTAACTGGCTGTGAAGTCTGTGAACTGCTCTGGTGGCAGGTGCCCCTGGCCACCACAGGAAAGTCCAGGGAAGCTTCCACAGATAGCCAAATGGTGAGTGGCACATGCCTCCCTGGCCTGGCCCCACAATGAGCTCTACCTCGCTGGCTGAGCTGGCTACTAAACAGAAATTGGCATTAAGAGGTTCCAAGAAAAGGACATTCCAAACATGGGAACTTAGCTAAGCACACTCTCTTTTCCTTTCTGGACAAACTGCAATTCAGATGGAAGATGAGGGTGGGGGAAGAAATTGAGTTAGGAAGAGAAAAGCAGGCATTGCCAAGCAAGAGTTCAGGTCTGTGACTATCCTAGGAAGGATTTTTTTCGTCCCAGGCTGGGGCAGGGGTGGGCCGGGTCCCCTAAGCTTTGCCAGGGGGTAAAGAGTATAGCATACTCTTCCTCTTCTTCCAAATCCAGCCTGGCCTGGGTGGGTACCCTCTGTGCACAAATCCCAGCTTGCCTCTCTTGCCATGTTGCTCCCTTCTCTCGTCTCTTCAAGGAATGGGGCATGGGTCAGTTGGCGTAGAGCCTTTGGAACACTGTGCTGACCAGAAGTCATTTATTGGCAAAATAAAACGTCAGTTCTGGAAAATGAATTTGACCCAGCAGGCAGACAAAGCAACCCAATTCCCAATGGCTCCTGAAAGACCTCCCACCCCGGGCCACTGGAGACATGTGACATCACGTGGCTCCAGCCCCTCTCTTGCTTGGAGTCTGCTGTCCCATATTACTCTATTTTGGGCCACAAGGGCAGGCAGGGAGCTCTAGGATGGTATTCCAGGGACCTGGTTTAGACCTGCTGGGAGGAGCTAAGTGGGGTCAGGTGTTAACAACAGACCCTGAATTCTCTACAAGAGTTCCACTGGCGAGAGATGTACCACTCCCTTGCTCTGGGTCCTATCAGAGCAATAAGGAGAGATGTGCGGTACTTCCTTAACTCTTTTTCCCACCGATCCCATGAAGACAACCACTGGGTTTACTCCCGGAGATGAACATGACCAGACTCACTCTATTTGCTACTGGGAGCTGAAGAGCAATGGAATGGTGATGTTCAGGTTTTAAACCTGCAGAAATTCACCAAAGCCCAAATGCGATCAACTGAAGCTATTCCAAAGAAGGTGTATAATCCATGTGATGCTTAGTAGTTGCCATATGATCTTTAATTTGTCAATTAAAATTTTTAAGGAAAGAGCCACTTATGTAGGCTTATTCAGAGTCTTCAGTTCCATTCTTCCAATGGTGGTTTCCCTTAAGCCTGCTGACAGAGAAGAGAACTAAGAGGCAGGACAGGGAGCTGGGAACAGAGAGAAGTGAGGCTGGGAGCCCTGAGAGCAATCTCAAAGGAGAGGGGCTGGGCAGGAGGGCTAGGGAGGAACTCACAATGCTCCGCAGCATCTTGTCCCCACCACTGAAGGTGACCGCTAGCATGGAGGCACACTCCTCTGCATAGAAAGGCATCCGCCCCTCCTCATCCACAGCACCTGGGACAGAAGGGAACCAAGGGGAGCTGAGATAAGGAGCCAGTCCTCTGACAAACAAACTCATCGCCAGAGAATCCACTCCAAGTCATGGCGACCCTGAGTGTCAGAGCAGAGCTGTGTGCTTCACACGACTGTCTTGGCTGTCCTGTTTACAGAAGCGTTGGCCAGGTCTTTTTTCCCACAGAGTTGCTGGGCGGGTTTGAACCATCCATCTTTAGGTTAGCAGCCGAGCCCATCATTGTGTCCCCACAGGCTCTTGTTCAGTGACCTGATAATGTCAGAGTTATCTTTGCGTTTTCATCTGGGAATTGTCCAGAGTTCAAAAAATGATCTCAGAACTGTTGGTACAGGGAAGGGATTATAATCATTGTAATGAAACAAAGTATATGGTTTGTTGAATGTAAAACTGATGATCTGCCTGGTAAACTTTCACTTAATTCACAATAAAAACTTAAAAAAAAGAAAAAGTAAAGAGAAAAAACCCAATGATCTCAGTGGCCAGGTCCCTCGGAGTGGCCATGATCCTCAACCCAACAGGCAGCCTCAGTGGCTGAGCGGCAGGTGCTTTCAAGGGCTTCCACTCATCCTTCCGTTTCCGCACAAACATTTCTTAAGCATTTGCTGTTGAGTCACACACTGTGCTCAGCATTGGGCATAATGGGAAAAGCCATTGTCCTGGCTTCAAGGAACTTATATTCTGGTACGAGGTTGGGAAAGTAAACACACCCAGTTTGGACACACAGATAAAATGCTGTCCATTTAGGCCATTTACCTCCAGCAGGAGGTAAGTGGCCAATGGGAAAAGAGGCCAGAGTAGAGGGTAGCCAGCTGTGGTGGGGTGGAAGCAGGCTAGAGTATCTCTGATGATGAGCTGTTCTCAGGGTATGTGACATCTCAGAAAGTTTCAAGAGCCTTCCAGAGCAGGTCTAGTCCCTCCTAACACTCTGAGTCTGCAGACAAGATGATGCTCACACATGAAGCAGAGTTACATCGAGATACAACCTGAGTCGTGCAGACACACACACACACACACACACACACTCACGGAACACTTAGTCGTTATACCTATGGTGACTGTGTAGATGGAGTTGGCGTAGCCATCATAGTTGCAGTTGTCATTGTGCTGGCCCCCGTTGCCACTGGCAACCACAAAGATGCTCCCAAATCCTTGGCGCCCAGCAATCACCCCATGTTGCAAGGCAGCCTAAGGAGCAAAACCAAAAAACATCAGAGTTATCAACGGAGAAGCTCTGAAAATCTCTATTCACCACACCTGTCACCCTCTCCTCCCCTTCTAGAAAGATAAGGGAGAAAAAGGCACTGGGCACAGGGGAACGATTTCAAGAGAAAACTAAGATGGGGAGATAGCTGTTCATTGAACAGAAGTTGGATGATTGTTCAGATTAGCTGATGATGGATGGGGCTAGGGCCGGGAGGCAGACAACAAAACCAAAGGGAGATAAGCTCAAAGTCTTCTTTCAGTTATCTCTAAGAACGAGTGCTCCCTTGTGTCCCCCAATGCTTCCTGAAAGGAAGGAGTAGGGTTAGATGACATAGGTCTGGCCTGTCAAGTGGAGGTGGGTTGAGGAGAGGGACTAGGTGAAGAGTTTTGGGATAAGTCTTCTAACAACCTCAAACAGTTACCTTTCCGAGCTGATGGGGTCCATCCACGGTCTTTCCATCATCATCTGGACCCCAGCTGTTGAGGAACACCCAGAGTGAAGAGCCAGAGCCAGGCTGTGGTTATCCATGCAGGGCCTCCCCTCTCAGCCGGTCACCCCTCTGCCTGGGGCTCTGACTCTCCTTCCAAGGGTTCCAGTTCAGGACCCCTATGATTAAGAGGCATGGAGTTTAAACAAGTTCCCAAGTCTTTACATAAGAATCGAGGTCCTTTCCTACTCCAAAGGAGGAAATGGAAGAGCTTGCTAAGAGTCTTCTTTTTCTTGGAAACCTGCCAAGTTTAGGACCACTTTAATGTGTCCCTAAAAATTTGTCAGCTCCAGAGAGCAGTAGACAGTACACAGTGGTGGGCAGGGAGAGGGGCTCAGCTCCTCGTCTAATACTAGACTTGATGGCAGAGGCTCCACAAAGAGAGCTTTTAAGACTGAAGAGTTCTTTATTCTCTCTTTAGGAGGGAGCATATCTGATGGATGAAGTCATGGACTGAAGTGTAGGTGCTGCTGGCCATGCTGCCATGACAGCTGCTTCATGTCCACTCCCAGCACAGCCATAACCTGAAGTTGCCTATGTGCTCATGTGTGTAGGGTGGTAGGGGGTGGTGCTAGGCCCTCAGCTTACTTGTGGTTGGAGAGGAAAACCCACTTTCTTCTAGAGGACTGATGAGTTTAGAGAAAAACTATAAACGGGACTGTGGGGGAGGCAACTTGATTTTCAGGGTAATGCTCTGTTCTAAACATGGGGCTGCCGCCTGAGCAGTCAGTGGCTGGGGAGTCAGACAAATGAGGACAATGGACTCAGAGCCTCCTCTGCAAGTACCTGTGGAGGCAGGGCTGTACTTTCATTGGGATATTAGTTCCTGATGCTCCAGCCCCTGGCCTTCTCACCTGGTTCCTTGCTACACCTTACCTGCAGCTGTAGATGTCATTGATCTGATAGTGCTTGTTGAACGCCACAGCCTCCATGCTGTCTGTGAGGGGTCCATCCAGTACCCGGATACCTAAGCAGTGAAGGCCACAACAGCTCCTGAACAACGCTGATACCACAAAACACGGGTCACAGTGCTAGTCCCCTGGATATGAGACTGGGTGGTGGGGAGCCCCAGGGAGCCCCAGGTGGGAGACTCACTTTTCTCAGGTTGTTCTTTTGTACTAAGTATATGTGTTGTTGTGGTGTGCTGTTCAATACATACTGACTCACAGCGTTCCTACTGGACAGAGCACAACTGCCTCATAGAGACTCCTAGGCTGTAATCTTTACAGGGGCGGGTCACCAGGTCTTGCCTTCCATGATGTGGCTAGTGGGTTTGGGTTTGAACTGCTGCCTTTTCAGTTAGCAGCCAAGCACTTAACCACTGCACCACCAGGGCTCTCCATATAGGTATTGTTGTTGCTAAGTGCCGTTAAATTGATTCCAACTCAGAGCAACCCTGCGTAGGGTTTCTGAGGAGCAGCTGGTAGGTCTGAACTGGCGACCTTGTGGCTCACAGTCCAGTGTTGATTCTACAGTGCCACACCAGGAGTCTTTGCATATATGTTACTTATCAAAAAATATTTTAAAAAATTCTACATTGGGATTAGCCCTTAAGGATCCCAAGGTCTGGTGGGAAGAGTCAGGCTAGAATGTAGCCTAGCAAAGTTTCTAATCTTCCTAATCAATCATGCATGCCACTCAGTAGCAGGCGTTCAGTAACTGGTTGTTCTTGTTGTTGTTAGGTGCCATCGAGTCAGTTCTGACTCATAGTGACCCTGTGCACAGCAGAACGAAACATTGCCCGATCCTGGGCCAACCTCACTACTGTTGCCAAGCTTGAGTCCATCGATGCTGTTACTTGGCCAATCCAGCTCATCTTTCTCTTTTTCTCTGACCCTCCCCCTTACCAAACATGATATCCTTCTCCAGTGACTGGTCCCTCCTGACAATATGTCCAAAGTAGGAGAGATGAAGTTTGGCCATCTTGGCCTCCAAGGAGCACTCTGGCTGCACTTCTTCCAACACAGATCTGCTGGTTCTATGGACAGCCCAATGTACTTTCAGTATTCTCCTCCAATACCATAACTCAAATGCATCAATTCTTCTATGGTCTTCCTTATTTACTGTCCAGCTTTCACATGCATATGAGGTTACTGAAAACACCATGGCTTGGGACAGGTGCACCTTTGTCCTCAAGCTGACATCTTTGCTTTTCAACACTTTAAAAAGGTCTTATGCAGCAGATTTAATTGCAATATGTCATTTGATTTCTTGACAGCTGCTTCCATGAGTGTTGATAGTTGATCCAAGAAGAATAAAATCTTTGACAACTTTAATCTTTTCTCCATTGATAAGAATATTGTTTATTGGTCCAGTGGTGAGGATTTTTGTTTTCTTTACATTGAATTGCAATCCATACTGAAGGCTGTGCTCTTTGATCTTAATCAGTAAATGGTTTAAGTCGTCTTCACTTTCAGCAAGCAAGGTTGTATCATCTACATATCACAGGTTGTTAATGAGCCTTCCTCCAAACCTGTTGCCACGTTTTCCTTCATTACTATTACTGCTCAACAAGCACTTTTTTGTTCCTGGGCTGGGTCCCCTATAGCTTTGCCAGGTGGATATCTATTCTCATCCTCTAAATTGGGTGTGTCACATCTTGATGGCGGCCTAGGGAAGAGGAGACTTGGACCTTGAGAAGTTCAGGCTCTCACTGAATCCTTGTTTACAGGCTGCCCTCTGCTGGAGTATATGGGGAATACAGGCAGTCTATGCAGTCCAGGTTGCCAATCATTATTAGGAATCGTCAGGTGGGTGGTTCCAGTTTATTCCAGTCACCCTCTGCTTTGGTGGACAAAGAGTGAGAGGTAAAGGAGTCAGAGAACAACCTCCCGTGGGTGAGAGGGCTGCTCGGCTTCTTAAAAGGATGGAGAGCTGACAGTGACTGTCAGAAGAACTAGGAGCTGGAGAGGTGGGAGATGAAAGAGGAACTTTCAAAGACTGACCATGTGGTCATGGAGAAAGATCAAATGAGCAGGCACTTTGTAAATTATGAAAATACAAGTATGTAAATGCAAAGTAGTTGAGAAAAGCAAACAAAAAACCCAACAAACTCAAAGAACAATCTCTGCTGTTGAGTCGTCCCTAACTCATAGTGACCCCTCAGGATAGAACAGAACTGCTCGCTCCATAGGGTTTCCGAAGCCGTAAAGCTTTCTGGAAGCAGACAGCCTCCACTTTCCCATATACAACCAACTGGTGTGTACGAACCACCAATCCTGCAGCTAGCAGTCCAACATTCAACTTATTAGCTGAGTAAAAGGCGTCCTGGATGGGAACAGAAGAGGGAGGAGGAGACTGAGCAGAGGGGCTCGGTCTACACCACCACTTCCACTTTGTCTGAAATACTGCACAGAGAAACGAGCACACTGATTTGTCCTACAGAAACATAAACTTACCCTTTCTCTGCACTGTGTGTGAGAGGGGGTTAAAGGCGGTTCCAAATGTACGGGAAAGGGGGTGGGGGGTCACAGTCGAAGCCTCCCAAGACCTGACTGAGAGGCTGAGTTACCTGCTATGCGGCTGCCGTATGCCACCCCGACTGCACAGAAGCTGTTGTTGGGTACAGCTGCAATCTCTCCTGCACATCTGGTGCCATGATGATTGCCGTTCTCCACATCTGGGTGAGGCATGGGGTCGGGGTCATTAGAGTTGAGGTCATAGCTGCCCTCAGGGCTCTGAAATATGGAGGGGTACAGGACTATGAAGTCATTCCATGGTTAGAAGAGGTCGGGGTCTGGAGTTCAGGGAGAGAGAGAACTGGAAGTTTGGGGCACCAGGCCCATCCCTCTCTGAAAACCATGTGGGCTACAAGACATACAGGCACAGGACAAATCAGGGCAAAAGTGAGAAGTGCCACCCCCCACTGCTAGGGAGCCAACGCCAACTCATAGTGACCCCGCAGGACAGTGGGGAACTGCTCCTTTGAGTTTCCAAGACGGTAAAACTTTATAGAAGCAGACAGTCTCATCTTCCTCCTGGTGGGTTTGAACTGCCGACCTTGTGGTCAGCAGCCCAATGCTTATTCCACAGAGCCATCAGATAACAACTTCTGTCTCATCTTTTATAGGAACAGACCCAGGAGACTGCTTCATGGCTTTGCAAACCTGGGGTAGAGGATTTGGGACGACATCAAGGTCGGGTTTTAGAGAGGAAGGGACTCAGAACTTTGGTGGCGAGGTAATTGCCTATAAAGGCCACTCCCTAGCTGCCAGGGCAGGGAGTGGCAAAAGGAACCAGAAGGTACCACCTGGGTCTGCCCTCCCTGAGTCGGGTCAGGAGCACCACTGCACCTTACCTGCCAGTCTGGAATGCTGACTGAGGAGAAGGAGAAAAGGAAGATCACCACCCCACCTCCTAGGTCCTTTTGTTTGGCCCGAAGACCTCGAGGAACGGGGACAAGCCTGCAACATCATCCAGAAGGAGGGTAGACATGGGAGTGGAGGGGGGTTGTTCCCAGGCTACTCACATAGTTGGGTGCAATGTCCTGGCTGGTGTGCTCAACTCCATCATCCACTACGACCACGGTCACCCCTTGCCCGGTCACATTGCGCTCCCACACACCAGTCACATTTATGTCCCTGCCGGGGCTCCGCCGGTTATTCTGCGGGAGAGACAGAGTCAGGAATGGCTCCCCAGGCGATGCAGTGACACACAGCATACCCACAGAGAAGTGAACTTAAAGGCAGTCCCTTTCAGCCTTGGCCACCCACCAGAGGTTGTGGATTAGTAAGTCTACATAGGGAGACAGCCAAGGAGGGGCCACAGGGGAGAGCTTTGTCATGGCCTTGGTTTCCTGGGAAGCTTGGCATCACTCCTGGGTGATATAGGGTGAAAAGGTGGGTAGACTTAAGGATTGGGTAAAATAATTACTGTGCCAATGTAAGTAGTTACCATTCTAATAGTGTAGTGTTTGCTTTATATATAGAAATTCATCTATCCTAATCACGATTCTATTGCTGCTGTTAAATGTCATTGAGTCAGTTCTGTACAGGGTTTCTGAGGAGCAGCTAGTGAATTTGAACTGCTGCTGACCTTGTGGTTTAAACTGACCTTGTAGTCTAGGTTTTCCCTACAGCACCACACCAAGACTCCATGATTCTATTGCTGCTGTTGTTAA